CCTTCTTCTGTCCCTGCTCATGTCTGGCAAAGACAGCGGACCTGTCTCAGATTGGTTGGAGCAGGGCTTTGGCATCAGGTGGATTTTTTATGTCCCCATCCCTGCTTCCCACTCCCCTGCCTAGTACCTTGGTTTAGCTTGGATTAAACCTTTTGTGTCTGGGGGTTTTTTTCTGATTATTTTACGATGCAAGTTGACAAAGCTGCCCTGCACCCAAAGAGTTGCAGTGTTTTGGAGCATTGCAGTGAATCGAAAGCAAAGCAGAGTCTGCAAAGGGCTGTAACTGTTTGGAGGTCTGATGTTGGGGAGAGAAGTCAGCCCGGAGCCTGGGGTGACCCGTGGAAATACTTCCACTGAAACTTCATAAAACTTAACTTTAAACCCAATAAAAACCTCTGTTCCTTTCCTTTCTGTTATCCCATTTCCTTTCTTTCTCTACTGCTCTGAATAAAACTTCCTTGTTTTTTAGCTTGCAGTATTTTTTTTATTTTAAAAGAGGTTTTACTTGCTACCTTTATAGATTATTATTCTTTTTCGCTGTGAAATAATTTCTCTTGTTTTTTCTTAGATCTGTGCTCAAACTTTAGTGGTAACCTCTCATTTTGAAGGCTGTGATTAAAGTGTGATTCCTTATTTTCTTCCTGGAATCCTTTCTCAGTTTACAGTTTATATAACTGGTGTGACAAATCTTTCCTGCCTTACCGTATATGACACTGTGGTTAAATGTCTCCGTCCCTCACTTAATTAAATCCATTTGTTTACTTTCAATTGGGATCCAATTAATGTACTGCAATAGCTGGTTCTGGGCTTAATGGAACCGGTCAAAACTTTTCAAAACTGCCCACACAATGTAAATCTCATCTGGAAATTAGTTTTTGTTCTGACCTGGAATGAAAGCAAGTATGCACAAGCATTCCTGCAAACTGGAAATCCAAAATATGTTGCGGTTGCAAGTATTGGTGCAAAAAACACCAGTCCTGTAACTTGCACATAGGCATTTAGTTCTCAACTCTGTTTTGTTTATAGTGCATTGTATTTTCAGTGTGGCATCCCAGGAGGAGCTGTCAGATGGTGCCCCAGTGATAGTCATAGGCACTGGGATAGTAAGGAGCATAGATTGGAGTGTAGGCAAGTGGATCTGCCTCGCTGCAGGAGGAGAAAAGAATAGGATATTTCCTAATGTATCTTTTAGGAGAACTTAAAAATGCTTCAGTGCACTTGTGTAGGACACCAGGATTTGCTTGTTATGGATGAATGTAGAGGTAGTGCAGGAAAACACAAATGCAGAAACAGGAAACAAAGTCCCCCAGCCCAGCATGAAAGGTTGGAATTTTGAAATGAAATTCCCAGATTTTCCAGCATTGGGTTCCTGAGGGGAGAGCGTGCATTTTGATCTCTCTGGGGGACACATTTGCGAGCAGCTTTTGAGAACACTGTTTGTAATAAAATTTTTGTGATTAAAAGAATGTTGATGAAAGACTTCTGACCTATCTAAAAACCTTTAGAGCCGTTTTCCTCTCCGTTTCTGCTGACTCCAGTCACTAGCGCTGTCAACAGTGTTTAGGAATACCATTATTCAGTGTTCAGTGTTGTTTCCTGATAAAGAAATAATGTCAGGGAAAAAAAAAATCCCCTGCTGACATGTTGAAGGCAGGCAGTGTGTGCTGTGAGCAAGGTGACATTTGCAGGCATCTGGGGTTTAGGTGTCTGCAGTCCCTCGTTAGCAGTTTGTAATCAGCATATGGCATGTCTGCATGGCAAGATGGAAGGAGTGATCAGCTCAGCCATGCTTTGGGCTAATACTATTATGTTTTTTCCCCTGCTACCCAAGTCACTGCTGTAGACATTTGGATCTAGCTGTGTTGTGCTGTTGCAGAGGAGGTGCTGTGAAAGGAGAACCCAAGAATGCCAACCCCCCTGTCACAGGTTGTGCTTTACTCTCAGTCCCCTCCATCCATCTATGTCCTGGAAAAAGGGGGTGACTCACATCCCTGCTCCATGCCAGCCGCTGCTGGAGGTGTGTTAGTGACCCGACCGTGAGTCACTGCAGCACGGGCACTGCCTTTCCTTGGACAACTTTCCACTCCTTGGCCCTGCTGTTTTTGGGCCCAGCAGTTACGAGGTGAGCTGTGAATCACCGGCGTCTCGCTTTACGCCGGGAGGAAACCAGGCAAATTGTGTTAACGTGCTTGGCAGGAGGAATTCTTGTTCTCCAGTGTTTTACAGACTTTGGCCCTTCTTCTTGCTCCCCAGAGTGATGTGCTCACCCTTCCTCATGTGTAGCTGTCACGCAGGATTGAGCAACAGCCAGACGGCCTCGGGCTCGGGTTCCCTCCAGCCGGGTGTAGTTTTCTGGGCAGAAACTGATGCTTCAGAGGCCTGGAAGGGATTCCCAAGGGGTCCCAAAGGCCTTCATTGATTTGTTCATACGGTTCTCATAGGCAGGGTTTAGATTAGAAAACAGTATTAAATGGATAACTCTGGAGGAGGTCAGACACACATGTTGACATTGGCCTCTACGGCAGCTGGTCTTGCGATGTTTGTGCCATTCTGAGGGACGTTGGTGCCCTGAGGCTTGTTCTTCACTGTCTGGTGTGTTGGGAGGTGCACAGCAGCACAACTATGTCAGAGCTCCCCAGCAGAACTGGGGAAACAGCTGACCCTTTTTGCGAAGGATTTGATGGTGAGTCAAGAGAGGGACATATGGGACTTTCTTCCTTCTTTATAAGGGGCAGACCTAGTGACAGCATTACCCCCTGAGCAGGTAGCAGTGTGTGCAGGGTGTTCTGCACAAGCAGTGGTTAAATTCCATCCCTCTGCTTCTCCGCTTTGCTTCCCACCACCTAAGCAGGATAGACTCACCTGTAGCCTTGTTTTAATTCCCTGGCATTCCTACACACGTTTGTCTTACACATTCCTGCCTCTGCCAGTCCCCTCCCAGCTCAGCTTTAGGATTCAACATGCCTGCTAAAATCTGGTCTCCAAATGCTTCCTCTCAGATACAAGAGAACCAAGGGCGTTTTTTTGCACCCAGGAATCCCTGGGCTGGAAAGGAGTCTGCTGGGGATTGTCAGGCTGTTGGAGGAGGACTGGGAATGGAGGCACTGTAAACCTGCAAGAATTTGAAAAACCTACTTTAATTTAAGAGGAATGTCCTTTTGTTCCCAAATGGATGGGCCTTGCTCCAGAGGCATTCAGGTGCAGTAACTGGTACCAGATGGGCTGTGAAAAGCAACACAAACAGGTGGTGAGGACAACAACCATAGACTTCAATTTCCTTGTCAGCTTCTCCCTGTACCTTACATACCCCCTGGAGAACAGGAGGATGAGGGGACCTGTCATATCTGTATATGGCAAAAGGAATGACTGTCGAGAGGATGTTCTGCCACTGTATATAGCAGGTCAAGCCCTTTGATTCTCAGTGGTGAGGCTGACTGTCATCTGGGCCAAGGTGTGTAGTAATGAACTTAAAATATAATTAACTCACATGTGCATTTTTATAGATACAGTGATCAGTGTATTTTAATGTATGCTGACAGGAATATTGCCTCAGATCTCCCCAGGTGTAGCTGTTGCTCTGCCACGCAGGAGAGTGGGACCACACTCACATTGTCCCGCTGTGCTTGGGGGAATTGAAGGCTGAGGCTGCAGGAGCATGGGAAGCCTTGATGTTTCTGGAGGGATTCCATACATACTGGAGCACTTGAAGAGGGATGAGTACAAGGCAATGACATGCCAGTCCTGCAGCCTGCACGGGACTGTTTTATGGCTGCAGCAGTGGCCTCCTGCCTTCCCAGGCTGGTGCCTTGCTCTCCACTTCCTTCAGTGTGGCATCCCACAGTAACTGAAGTGTTTGCTGGGCTGTGACTGTTGTGATGAGTGAGCATACTCTGGTACAGGACACGTTGCTCTGCAGCAGGCCTGGAAAAAGGAGAGATGGTGCAGAGCAGATATTTGCTAAGAAAAGCCATTTCATAGCTATGTCAGCTCTGTTGTTGCTCCAGTGACCGTCGGCACAGACAGCAGTGATAAGTGTGACTCCAGATGTATTGATTTATTGCTGAGTAAATGCAAACCAGGTACAGAACAATACACGCTCTTATGGGACACACAGATTGTTGCTAAACACCTTGCTGGGCTGGGCAAGGCACAGAGGATGCTGGAGAGGGCACAACTGTTCCAAACTCAGCAGTATGCAATGTGCTTGTACTCAGTCTCTCTCTTACTGGGTTTTTGCTTCCCAATTGCAATGCTATCCCTGCCTATCTGACTGTATTTCTATGTCCTTGGCTTGCCAGCATACAAGTGAAACTGGCTTTTGTCCTTGTCTCACGTTCAGGCCCGTATCAGTCACGCTTCATTTCCACTGTCTGACACCTCTTTGTTCACAGCTCCCCCGTTTCTGCCTGAAATGACGCCTCCCGCTCTGGATGTGCAGAGGATAAGAGAATTTAAACCAAACAGAGCTGCAGAGGACAACATTACCTTGGCTATAGTCAAAACTAGAGTAAAGCCATTTCCTTGTGCTTTCCTTATGCAGAGACAGGCTCACCTTCTGACAGTTAGTAGGAGCTGATGCAGGACTTGTGCTACCCCAGAGATCTGTATTATATCCCAGTCAGGGCAATCCTTGGAAATTTGAAGCCAAGAGAACAGGGCTTCATGATTCTTTACAGTCAGAAAAGGCTTCCAGGACTGTCGGGAATAGGGGGATGCATTTTGGACTTCTTTTGTTTCTTTAATTTGAAGATAAGGAAGCTGAGGAATGGGGTAACTTTAGAGAGCTGGTACAAATCTTAATGCAGTTGAGTTGGAAAATAAATGCTTGGGGTCAGTGGACTTTCCACCTCCTATTTAAATGGAGACTAACACAATGTGGTTAATGTGTGGTGTTGAAATTGTGCAAGCCCCTTTCCATCTTGAAACCACTGAGATTATCCACCCCATGGCTGTGGGCTCTTGCCTTTTTAGCATTTCACGTCTCCAATCGTCTCTCCTAGATGATCAGCTGAACTCAGAAGAGAAGAAGAAGAGAAAGCAGAGAAGGAACAGGACTACCTTCAACAGCAGCCAGCTCCAGGCATTAGAGAGAGTCTTTGAGAGGACACACTACCCCGATGCCTTTGTACGGGAAGACCTTGCACGCAGAGTCAACCTCACTGAAGCCAGAGTTCAGGTAATCGCCTTGTATCCAGTCCCACCTCACCTGGGGGATCATCATCATTATCCCAGTAAGGCAGCAAAAATCCTTGAGGCCGGTGGGGCACACAAGGGTCACCGAGCTTCTGGGTCCTGCTGTATTGCAGCCCCAAGTGTGACATGCCTTGAGGAGGACTGGGAAGCCTGCTGTGCTGCCACAAGTGCCACCTGCCCAGTCACACGTGTTCCTGTGGCTCTCTCAAGGCCAAGATGGTGAATGCTCAGGCTGCTCCTGTTATTTTGAGCTGTTCAGCCCTTAGCTTGCAAGCCTGTGCCTTTGGAAGATCAGAGCAGACCGTGGAACATGGTGTGTTGTACGGCACTCCCAGGCCTTGCTGCCGTCAGCGCAAGGCAGAGCTGGTCCCACAGGGACCTCACTGAGCCAGTCCCTCATGTGAGGGCTTTATAAGGATTGTGTTGTCACTGGAGTTCCCAGGGACAGGCACGCCAAAGCAGCCGGCTTTTACAGAGTCCCGAGGGCACAGGTGGTGTGGGGAAGGAGTGTGTCACAGCAGAGCTGGTTGTGATGGCTGGTGGGTCTGTGTGCTTCCCGCCCCAGGTGTGGTTCCAGAACCGGAGAGCCAAGTTCCGCCGGAACGAGAGGGCGATGCTGGCCAGCAAGAATGCCTCTCTGCTCAAATCCTACTCAGGGGACGTGACCGCCGTGGAGCAGCCCATAGTACCTCGCCCAGCTCCGAGACCCACTGATTATCTCTCCTGGGGCACCGCCTCGCCTTACAGGTAAGTGAACAACCCCTCTGGGCTGGCCAGTTTTTGGCATAGTATAGAGCAGCCTGAGAGTGGCCCCCAGACAGCTCTCATGGGCTGTTTATATTCACATGGAACAACTGGAGGGTACAGCAGTTTGACCACCCCACTGGTTTTCCTCCCCTGTTCCCATCCCACCCCATCTCACTGCCAGGTTTGCAAGGTGGGCTCAGCTCAGCATCATCATGGCTTTCTGGCAGCTTCTTTTTTGGTGGTCCCTTTCTCTGCAGCTCAGGAAGTTTCAAAAGAGGATCGGGTAGAGATACATAGAAACAGAAGGGGTTGCACTTGCTTCCCACGTGCATCCAGTTTAAAGCAATGAAGAAACCTTTCCATGGGGCACAGATCCAGGGGAGGTGAGGGCAGAGCACTTGGGGAGGCTCAGCCACACACAGTGGCCAGAAGAGGGAGTTCTGTGGCTGTCCCATGGCAGTCACTGGTTGGGATGCAAGGAAGGGCTGGAAACTCCTTGCATGTTGCTCCCATTCCTTCCCTCAGTGTGAGCAGTTTCTTTCTAGTTGCCTGAGCACAAGTGTGTGTGTGTGAACGTTGTGCTGTGCTGTGGTTTGCCCGCAGCAAGGACCAGGTGACAAATTGGTGTTCAGTGCCCATCTCCTGTGGTCAGTGCTGCTTAAGGGGTGACAGGAAAGAAGCGTAGATGTGGCAACCCCAGTCTCAAAGGATCTGGGATGTCCATGCACATCACAGGCCCCCCTGTCCTCCTTCATGCCATTCACAGCCCAGCAGGAACTGGGTGTGGACGTAAGATCCACAGGATGTGTTGGTTTGTGGGGAGCCAGCTGGCTCATAGGCAGTTAAAAATGAGGTTGGTGGGTGTTTTTTAGCACAGTGCCTTCATTGTCAGTAAGGACCTTGAAGCATTTGGCTGGGTTTCTTCCTGTTCCTCCGGCCTGGTCACAGCCACCCTCCTGCTGGCTTCCAGGAGCCATGCCATGCACTGGACCTCTCTTGCTCGGTCATCTTGACCCCCTTTTTGCTCCCAAACATTGTTTGCACAGTAAGGCCTGTGAACACGTAGCCTTCCTGATAGTTTATTTGCTTCAGTGCCACGGGGTTCTCCCCATCTCCCCTGTAGCTCCAGAAGGACAAGTCAGGCACTGAAACGGATGCATTTGACAGCATAGTTTGGTCTTAGAGATAGCCCTTATCCTTTGGATTTTATCCAAGGACTGCTGTCTGGCAAAACCCCCCTTTTGTGGTTAAGGCTTTCTGTGAAGTACTACGTAGTGTAGCACCCTAGGGAAGCATCTAGATGGTGAGATCAGGGAAGAGAAGCAAGTTCCTTCCCCACCCTGCTGAGACTGTGCTGGTCACAGTACCACATCCCTGCTGAATACTCATGACTTATTTCTACCTCTCACATTTTTAAAAGTAGATCAACCCTCCCAAGATGTCTACACAGAGGGCTTCGTAAGGGCTTCTAGGAGAAGACCCTAAAAAGTCAGCTTCCAGGGGTATACTGAGAAGGGCTGTCTGGGGCCACTCTGGGCAATGAGAAGCCCAAGGTGCCTGGGATGTGAGAACAAGGAGAGCAAGGCAGAAGGGAAAGTCTTAGGGTTGGGTTTTTTCCCCCCCTGAGGTCCAGACCTGGCTATGCCTCTCCACAGTGCAGAGACACATCCTCACTGTTCTGATATCTTCCCCTTGTCTTAAGCCAGTATGTTTCAGCAGAGATATGTGCAGCTTACAGTTGTCACCACCGGTTGACATGTCCAACTAGGATGGACTGTCACCCTCTCACTGCCCAGCATTGGCAGAGGACAGAGCAGCTGATTTCTGCAGTGTGAAGCGGTCAGGACCCTCAGACACTCCGTGCTCCTCAGGCTTTCTGTTCCTACTCATCATCTCTTAGCAATAGCGTTCATCTTAAAGGGCACCCGGGCCGAGTTGTCACAGCCTCATTAAAGCTTTGAACTGAGTAAGGTTATTAAAATTCTGGACACTTGGTGAAATAATATTGAAACACTCCAGCCATGTGGAGTGTTTGCATGGCCCTCTGCCCCCTCCCCATCTCCCTGGACCAGCCCCTGATTTACGGCTACTCCAGGAGGGGGCTGAGAGCAGGGCCCGGAGCTGCGCCGCCGGTGCTGGTTTTACTCTTAGATCTGGGGAAAGTTTTCAATCAGCGTGTTTATTCTCCAAATACACTCAGCCACAGGTCAACCAAAGCTATTTGCAGATCTATGTCACACAGACAGCCAAGTAGATACTATTATTTTTTTGAAGTTGAAATGTTTTGCTTAGACATTTTTTAGCATAGGTTCCTAAGAAAACAAGACTTGCAGTCGCGCTGTCAGCCCGCACTTCCCACTCCAACAACCTTTGACTCCATGGGCCATTGAAAACCATATTTGAAAGGAGGATTTTAGGACTCAGAAACATGATGTTCCTCTGTGTTTCATGAAAGCAGACAGCTGAGTGGAGGAAGGAGAGTCTTATCTCTGCCTGAATGGGGCAGAGGAAGGGGCCAACGGGGTAAATTCAGACCTTATTAGACCCTGAAGAGTCTCTGGAGCAACCCTCAAACTATTCTGATGTTTGGAGACAGCCTTCTTGGGTACTGCTCCTGGTAGAATAACTTGCTAAAAGAGGGTGTTTCTGAAGATTTTTGGTTTAGCAGAGGTTTCACTTGGCACCAGTAATTTCCCCCATACCTCTGGGGACTTGGGAGCCAGAGACTCATGGGAGTTTCAGTCCAGACTTGGGCAGCAGCCTGGTTTTGAATGGGGACACCCAAGACTGAAAATTCCGCTTTTATCTAATCTAGTATATCCTTGAGGCTCTTCTTCCAGCACAAAAACATGGGAGAGATGCACACTGTGAAAACAGGTGGGAATGAGAGCTTAAGTAGCCACCAGCTTTAGGCCTTTCTGAGGCTCTGCACACTTCTGCAGGCAACACTCAGCTTCTGACATGGTGCTGACTTACAGGTGAGGAGAGTGACCAGCTCAGCCATTGAGAGGGAGCTGAGGGGGTGCAGCCAGCTGGGGAGAACTCCAGGCACACCGATCCATCGCATCCTGGATCCTGCTGAAACGCAGCTGTTGCAGCCCCAGTTGGCCAGAGTCTCTTTTATTGTCCATCCTCCATGTTCTTCCAGTAGCTGTCAGAGACTCTGAGAGTCCTGAATGTTTGCTCTCCTGGGGAGAGTATTCAGTGCTTTTCTCTGGGTGGGTGTGCAAGCAGCTTTATATCCTATGGATCTCAGCTGCCCTTTCCATGTGGGTAAGCTGTGGTGTTTCCACCGGTCCTGATGCAAAGATGACAGTCCTTCACTGAAGAAGTTATTTTCCTTGATTTTAAAGTGAGAAATGGGAGTCATATGGCCTGGGATGGGACCTAGTAGTATTCCCTGGTTTGGATCTCCTGGAGGCTGAGGATTCAGGCAGCACTGGATGGCATTTAAACTCCTGACAGGTCGGCTCTACTCTACAAGGTCAGAGATACGACCAGTGCTTTGGGATGAGCAGGCATTCCTCCAGCCTGGATCTGTGCAGCAAATGCCCCTGTCCCTCAAGGGAGATTTGCTGTTGCAAAGACTCCTCCAGTCATGGAGCTCAGTGCTGGGAGAAATAAAAAAAAAAAAAAAAAAAAAAAGAAAGAAAAAAAGGAAAAAGCCAAGCCAAGCCATCTTCTTTCTTGGGCTGTGGATGGAGGGGAGCATTTTGCAGAGCCTCAACCGTGAGCCACCTGGGCAGGCAGATGGAAGAGGTCAGCACCAGACCTGAGCTTACCTCCAGCAGAGCATTTGTGGTTTCCTCTGTGTTAAATGGGCATCTCTAGTTCATGTGGTGATGGTCAACTGGTTTTGATCTGTGGATACATGTATAGGAAATGCAGCGGGTCAGACAGTGTGCTGGTTTGGAGGAGGAGGGGGGTTGCTTTTTGCAGAAATCCCTGGGACACGTGGGTTAAACAAGTTTTCAAGTAGTCTGGAAAACAGATTTGCAGGTTTTTTGGTAGGATAAGAAAAGAGTCAGAGGTTTTGGTTTAGCCTCTGCTGTCAGAAGTGATGGTTTTTATGAATAAAGTCATTATTTGAAGGGAGAAAAAGTATTTCACGGTTGGATTTTTTTCCCTTAACCTTTAGGGCATCCTCTTTATGATCAGCTGAAGTTTTGAGGGGAAAAAAAAATGTGGAAATTTTCATTCCAAAAGGCTGAAACCAGAAAACATCAGAATTGTTGAAATGGGTTTTTCCCAGAGTGTTTTTTTAATGTAACATGTGTTTCAGAAGTGACGTGATTTCACAACCAATAAAACCAAAAATTGCTCTCATCAAAAAGACACTGCTTCCAGTGGGAATACTTTTAAGGACAATGGTCTAACTGGCAGGCTGACCTCATTGTAAACCTTTTTTGTAGGGGGGTTAGAAAATAGGAAGTGGAAATTTTCCTGTTGACTTCAAGAGGCTTTGGGGCTGTCTGTCCCTGGGTGAGTGAACCGCAGCGGAAAGATTTACAGGGGTGTTAAATAAAGAGGAGTGGTAATTCCCTGCTGGCATCAGAAATTCATCCCGCAGGTGTGGAAATCCCAGGGTTTGAGGCCACGTCTGATGTGGTGTTTCTCTTTCCATCCCACAGTGCCATGGCCACCTACTCCGCTACGTGTACCAACGCCAGCCCGGCGCAGGGCATGAACATGGCCAACAGTATTGCCAACCTGAGACTGAAGGCAAAGGAATATAGTTTACAGAGGAATCAGGTGCCCACAGTCAATTAACGACTGGAGGCAGCTGCCTTGCAGAAGGAGAAAATGCAACAGCACCCGTCCTGCTTCGCAACTTGTCTGTGCTGAACTAAAAAAAAAAAAAAAGAAAAAAAAAAAAGAAAAAAAAAACATAAAAAGAAAAGAAGAAAAAAAAAAGAAGAAGAAGAAAAACAGCCAACCCTCGCCCAGAACTGAACATGGGGAGCAAACTGAACCGCTCGTGAGTGACAAGGTTCCTCCTTCCTTTTGGGATAATGCCACCATTTTTTTTTTTCTTGTTATTGTTGGGTTTATTGCTTCTGCTCAATATACTACGAGCTTCTTCAGTAAAGGACAGTCTCACCCTTGTTGGTTTCCATTTTTGTATGGGACTGCAAAAAGAAACCTCTGCCAGTCTCAGCCCAGGGACAAGTCCCACCACCACCGTGCTGAGATGCAAAGCTTGCTCCTCTCCCTGCTGCCCCAGCTCACCCGTGGAGAAGTTGCTTGGTCACCGCTTTCCATTGCATCCACCTGGCCCTCATCCCTCCATCCCTTGTACCACAGAGGCAGCACCATTAGTGATAGTCTGTGAGAAGCCTGTTAGTGCAACGAGATGGATTCATCCTGTCTGGGTTGCCTGGACCACTCCAAGGTGTGAGGAAGACCTCCTTGGGCTTCAGAGCACTTCGTTGCTTTGCTGGGTATTGCCAGCACTGCTGCCTCAAAAAGCCAAAGAGAGAAAAGCCAACGTGGGTGTGTGAACAGGGGGAGGGCAGCGGAGGGATCGCTCTGTAGTGCCAAGAATAGGACTGTTAGGACACTCCTTTCTATGCCTTACAGTTTGTGCCACAGGGAAAGGCGTTGTCCGGATGCATTTGTTTTATATATACTGTATATATTTATATATATAAGATAATACATGCAAGCTTGGTTGGTGTTTTTTATTAAACGAAATAAAATCCATTGAAAATGTTTGGGATGTTTGTGCTGCATCCAGGTCCCTGGAGCCAGGCATTGATGTTCCAGCCACAGCCTCTCTCACCCTTGTCAGAGCTCTGCCCAGCAGCCTTGGGCAGCGCTGGAAGTGGCAGCTCACGTCCTCCCGTGACAACCCCACAGAAGTGGTGCTGGAGGGAGCCACACTCCTTTGCAGATTTTCCCCACAGGCATTTGCAGCTTCCTAGAATACAACAAGGATCTCCTCTCCAATCAGACGGGTTCACGTGGTTCCTGAGAGCACAGAAGGACATCCCTATGGAAAGTCTCTGCCGGCCCCTCTGATGACAGGTGACGTCTCAGCATCCCACCAAAGACCTTGTCACCCCCCACTTCCCATAACACTGCCCAGTGAGGCTTGTCCTGTAGCCTTAACCACTCTCCTTTGCTCTCCCTGCCTGCTGTCCTCCCTCTGGGCTCTAATTAGGACCTAATTTTTTTCTCTCAATGAGGAGTAGAGGAGATGCAGGACAAAAGAGGTTTCTTCCATACAAACATCCTGAGGAAACTAGGATCTTTTATGTTGCTGGTGATGTCTGCCTCTTTGAGGGAGGCAGGGGGCTTATTTATGACCAATAGCACTTGTGTCCAAACTTTGCCATGGAATAGTCTGACTGAAAGTAGAAGAGCTACTCTGTGGTCCAGACTGGACCATAAGGGAAGGAGAAGGAAACTCAGTTATGAGAGAGAGTTCTGGTACAGGGGCTTAGGTCTCCACCCTGGTTTGCTGCAGACACGCTGGGCATATGTAGATGTCTGACAGTGGGCTTTGATAGACTAAAACATCATGTTCAGGAAATGAGAAAGAAATCTCTTCAAAGTGAAGGTGAAAATTAAACTGGCAGAAGATGAATGGAAATCCAGCCAGAGTATTTGAGCTAACACTAGGAAAAAAGCCCCAAATCCAAACTTGAGTAAGTTGTGCCTGTGATTGTATGGGTTGCTGCTGGAATTTTTTTTTCTCCCTGTATGGGTATTTTTGAGGGGGGGGAAAAAAAGAAGTTAAATTGTGATCAGGACAAAAAGCTGAAAGTCACAACCAGAACATCAGCAGGGACAGAGAGGCTGGGCAAGCACTGCATTTTAAGAAATCCATCATGTTCTATTTGATCCCTTTTTTTTGGTTTTCTGCAGTCTGGAGAACCTAACATCTCTAAATATTTCTATCATGAGTAGTGTGGTTCCAGCTCCTAGAGCCAAGTGATCATGTTGAAAATCTCAGCCTGCACTTAGAAACTCACTCCTGACTGCTGTGCCTACCCAGAGGAACTATTAAAGAACATGTCCTGCATAAGCAGAAAGGACACAGTGCCTTGCAATGTTACTCAGAGGTTGACCTGGTTGTTGAGTGCCTTAAACTGGTGCTCTCCCCTCTCCTTGCCTTGCTGCCCTTCTCCACAATCCACCAACATCCCAGCAGTGACAGTGGCCTGGATGAGCTCCCCTGGCCTTCCCCGAGTGTTCACCCTGAAGCTCTTTCCTTCAGCGAGTTTCAGCTCTTTCCTTCAGTGGCTTGGTGGCCTTTTGGCTTTCCCCTTGTCTTTGCTCACCTTTTCTGCAGTAGGAAAATCGCCTTGAGCAGCTTTTTTTTTGTTGCCTGTATACAGACACCTCTTTCTGAAGTTAGCAAGGAGACAGTTCAGAGAGCATGAAGCTCCTGGTACCCCATCACCCATCCATGGACCAAGACACCCATCCCCACACTGTGATGTTCACATGAAGGGGTCACATAAACATCTGTGCAAACCCACCTTCAGCCTCCTCACTATATTTGTGTGAGGAATGGAATTGTCTGGCACAAGCTGCTCCTGGGGGAAGGTTGTGCAAGCTTTTGACTTCCAGTTTGAGTTGGGTCTTGCCTCGTTTCGGGCTGGTTGGTCAGGGATGTCCTCAGGTGACTGGGCTGTTCTCAGTTCAGATGAGACCTTTTACATCACCTTTGGGCTGGGTGATGGGTGACCCAATAATTAGGTTTTTTACATGGATTTACTAAACAGAGTCCAGCCGGATGAAGGGGGAGGTTTTGGTGCTTGTTTCTTAATTGCTGGTGATCTCAGCCAACAGGCAGCATCTTGTTGTCTATCAAGCCAAAGCAAAATTTTATTATTGTGTATGTTTAATCTGTATTTTATTAAAACATGTAAATATATGTGCAAATCAAGGGCCTTATCCTCAAAGCATGGAGTTCTCCAGGGTTTTAGTAGACTTTTGGTTGCAGCTCTAGGAGGTTGCCATGGTTACCACAGTTATCACTAGTTTTGGGTACCATTCGGGGAGAAAACGGTCTTGAGACACATTTCTCTCACCAGCTCTGTACAAATGCTGTTTTCTCAGGCTCCCCCTTTCTCAGTAGGTGGCTGATTCTCTCTAAGTGGGATTTTTGAGCATGACAGGGATGGATGATTGATGAGGCTGTTGGAGCTTGACGCGTGAAGCCACGGGATTCCCAGATGGAAGTGTATCCTGTAAATTATCTCTTGCTTTGTGATGTAAAATGTACAGTGTTTACACTAGAATAGAAATGATCATTTTCAATAAAAGGGGGAAAAGACTCCCCAGTCCTTTCTATAAGCTGCCACATCTGTGTCCTGTGTTGCTGCCCTGAGGTGTCCTACAGTGTTCGCTGGGGTTGGGAATATGCAGGAGCTTTGTGTGGGGAAACGGGGGGACTGGGGCTGCCTGCCCAGCGGGTTTGTCCTGGGGACACCGTGCAACCCATCAGGGGACCACAGTGGAGGTGGGGACCCCTGTGCTTCACACTCTGTGCAGGCCAGCAAGTCAGGCAGGGCCAGATGCTGTGTCCAGACCCCTGCCCGAACCACAGGATCCTTCTGTCAGCACAGGCAGCTACAAGTTCAGCAGCAGCATAAGGCAGGAAACACCCACAAAGACTTTTCCTTAAAAGAGATGGTTTTCAGGAAAAGGCAGGACACACTGTGGCTTCACCCCCATCTCCCTACACACCCCTGGGCTGGTGAGACACCAGGTGGGGCTGAATGTGGGGCAGGAGGGATGAAGGGGGGTCTCCCTTTAGAGAAGGGAGGTGAGGGAGGGATGGGGATCCCTGTGTGGGTGCTGGAGTTGGGCAACCAGCAGGGAAGGATGGGAGGAGGGAAAGCAACAAATGAGAGGAAAAGGAGTGAGTCCCTTCATCTGTGCAGGGAGCAATCAGGGGTGGGCTCATGAGGGAAATCCCTCCACTGCAGAGCAAGGGAGGTGGTCAGAAGGAGCTCAGAGGGTAATGAGGGCTAATTAGCGCAGGCTATTAAAGTAGGGATGGGGCAGGTGCTGAAGGGGAGGTTTTTTTGCCTGAAGACACTAAGCTGGGCTGGAGCTGGTGAGCTGTGCTTCAGTACTTGGGTCTCTGCTGGGAGCTGCAGTTGGGTGGGGGAAGGATGCTGGGTGTCTGGGGCTGGTGGGCTTCTGTGACTTCCCTTCTTGGTCACTAAGTGATTCATTTGAATTTCAGCCAAATGTTGGGAATCAGGAGTGTATCTGGGCTGGCCTCCTGTTTCCCTGCTGATCTGGCTTCTGACCCTCCATGGGCAGTCAAATTTCAGCAGCTCAGTCCACAGAGAGACCCCCTTAAGAGGAGATGGGTATCTCTGCAAAGCCCTCAGCAGCGAGCCAAGCTTGCATTCCTTGCAAAGCTGATCATTCACTCTGCTGAAGCTGAAATAATAATAATATCACTCACTTACTATTTCTTGGTTGCCAAAATAAGTAGGCTTGTAAACAGCATTGCTTCCAAGCTGATTTTGAGACTGGAGTGGCTTGGACTGAGTTGAAACAAGCCTTGGATGTCCATCCAGACCTCCAGCTGGCTCACCTGAGCTCCCTTTGGGTAGGTGTCCATCTCCCCACCTGGCACTGCTGTGCTGTAGCTCCTCACCTGATGGCTCCAGCTCTCAGTTTGGCTTGGATTTTCCAGCAGGACTAATAAAAACCATGGTGGAGTCCTGAGGGTGATGCTGGGATAGAGCCTCCGGGTCTCCAACTCTAAAGATAAAGCTGAAATGGCTTTGGTGGGGCAGGGGGATCAACATCTCCATGTCACGGCAGGGAAAGGTGCTGTGGGAGTTAACAGCAGGCTGAAGGGTGACAAATGGCAATCAGCATCTTATAATGTCTCATCCTCTTTGTCTTTTTTAATAACTCTCAAGATTAGAGTTACTCTTTCCAGCATCTTGGCCAAATTTTGCTCTCTGTCTAGCTGGAGTCCCTCAGCAGTCTCGGACAGAGGCTGTTTTCCTTTGCTTCCTGCCTCTGCCTGTCCGAGCGATGCCAGATGTTGTCTCACAGCTGCTCTTTTCCAGCCCCAGAGGTGGTTTCAGAGTGGGGCCAGGTGGAGCACTCCTTGTAAATGGGAGGGTACTAAAATTAGCCAGGCTATAAAGCCATCTTGGGACACCACAGAGCCCCCCATCTCAGTGGCCAGGTGATGAGGTCAGTCCCACTTTCCCAAAAAGCAGCCATGTGTGAAGGAGATGAGTGCTCCTCCCCCAAGGAGCAGGGGAGGCAGTGAGCTTTCCTCAAGGGAAGTGGGATGTGAGGTTACACCACTGCTCCCTCTTCCCAGTGGGGCTGGCACTGTGGATGCTCTCAGGAAAAACCTGTCCCCAGGTGGGAAAAGTCACACCGTGCTTCTGAGATGGGTCCTCATAACGCTGCTGAGCTGACACAGTGGCTTTCCATCCATCCCATGTGCAGGTTTGGGACTGGCTTGGTGACACGTGTGGACTATGGGCCAATAAAAAGTGAAGGCAGGATTAAAGCAGCTCCAGAGTGTTCTTCATCCCCAGCTGTGAGGGGTGTGAGACAGCTAAGGGTCTCTTCTTCTTCCTCCCCAGGACAGTCAGCTCAGGTGGGAGCTGTCCTGCCTGGGAAGCACCATTCAGCACAAACCAGAAAGGTGTGTGTTCGCCCAGGGGGGTGAGCCAGGTCCATCCCACAGTGGAATGAGGTGATTCCCACAGCTGGTGCTTTGCCTGTGGATTTGCACCCCACAAAACTGCCTGACTGTTGTAGCAGTGCTGTTAGAAATGATTTCTAGAGGAGCTGTGATGGAGAGTCTTCAGCAGACACGTGGGTGGATGTGACTGAGCTGAGGCTGGTCCTTTTGTGGAACTGGGAACTGAGCTTCTTCCGAGTCAGCCCCATCATTTCCTCCCTTGCCTCAGCAAGGAGATGTGAGTCTTGTAGTTATGGGACCCTCAGGGAACAGGGATATCTGGAGGAAAGTTGAGCTCTTTGCTCATCTGGCTTGTGAGGGCTGGGTGGGACAGGGAGCCAGGGAGCTCTGCCACTTGCCCTCTCTTGCTGCTGCCTCCTGTCAGCAAAGCAGTGTCTTGTGGGAATCTTCAGCCCATCTCAGAGGGGTGGGACAGCAGCACCTCCCTGAACTGGCTGCAGGACAAAGACCTTCTGGACCATGTTAAGTCCTGATCTAAGAGGCAAGTACAGCTCTCCAGGCTGGCAGAAGATTTATCACCGTGGCTGAAGGCTGTATCTAAAGCTGGTTGAAAAATGGAGTTTCTTTTCCTGTGGCAGCTTCCAAGATTTCACATATTTGACTTCATCCCAAATCAGGCCATGGAGTGGAAATCTCTAAATATACTGCCAGGAAAATGCAAGTATGTGCAGGCATGGCAGGAGAGCTGACACGATAGATTTTCCAGCCTTACTGAAGTGGAACATGTTGAGCTTTTGGAAAACCCACTCCAAGAAAACTGTTGCATTTTGGCAATGCCCGTCTTTGTGCCCTAAATGAAATGTCCAAGTGGGACGCTCCACATCCTGAGCTTGGCAGGACATGGGCTGTTTCCTCCAGCATCTCTGTCATGGGCCAGTTCTAGGTGTCTCCTCAGACTGCCAGTGAGCTCTGTGGTCAGTCCAGGGGGATGGATCTTGCCTGTCATGTCCACAATAAATGTGTGCACAGACAAAACTGCCTTGCAGATTCAAAGGATAATCCATGTGCCTTCTCCTTCCCCATCATCTGCTTCTTTTAAGGCCATGAGGACCCCACAGTGCCATCCAGATTGAGACTTGGGGCACGAAGGCCAGAAACCCAGGAGAATGGACTTCCCAAAATCACAGAAATCAGGGCTGGGAGTTACAGTGGTGTGGTTACTGCTTATTTTTGGCAATGCATGATACTTGATTTTTTTTTTCCCCCTTTGCAAACCATTTGTCTAGGTGGGATTTCACTGATGGAATGCAAATGTCCAAGAAGGTTTTCAGAGGCAAATGGGGGATTCCTTTCAATACAGTGACTTGCCTCTCACATGAAACCAGAGGTGAAGGTCCTAGAGGCACTGAGCACGTGCAGCAGTGATGCATCCCCTACACCGTAGGGTGACTTCTCCCTCCCCAGTCAGCATCTGCTGTGCCCAACCTTGCTGTACCAAGGAGAGCTTGCTGGCCAAAAATGGCATCTTTGAATAATAAATAATAATAATCTGTCTTTAATTCCCCCCCCCTTTTTTTTCAGTGATGAATGGCTTCCATCACAGTGTGTGGAGGAGAAGCAGCTGTTGACGGGGGGCAGGGTGGCTTCTCTGGGGTTTATTGTTTTAATCATGGCCTGACTGAAAGTGACAGCCTGAAGATTAAATGTCTGCTGAAAGGAAATCATAACTCTGGGTGACTCCACTTAGCTCCACGCCTATTAAGAATGTATTTTTGTTGGACATGGAGGAACGTGGTTTCAACCAACTATGCACTTAAACGCCACTTCTGTCTGCGTTGATGCTGTTGGGTTTGCAAAATCTCTGGTGCCCTGGTTGGGAGTCCTTAGACCCACCTGGAGCCTTGTGTCAGAGTCTCTCCAGCCTCATCAGGTCTGTTTTTTCAGTGGATCTGTGCTGCACTTAGGAATGGAAGCCATGACACTGGATGGGGCTTTATAATCCCAAAGGAGACAAGGTGGGAAAGATGGTGAGCGTGAGTTCTGCTCCCCATTCGAGGGAAAGGGCCCTCCCAGTGGGGGCAGAAGGATGCCAACAAATGGGGGGATGCATTGGGTGACACCTGGGCAGCTTGCACCCACCGTGTGACCATCCTCACTGGACACCTCTTGCTCTTCCCAGGCTCTCATGTCCATCTCTGGATGTCTGCAGCGCTCTGCACAAACAAACCCTGCTCTCACCCACTGCTGGCCCAGGGCTGGCACCAAAAGGTGTGTTTTGGGGCTGTGTGTCAGTGCACAGAATGCCATGTCATGTCCTGATGATGATGGCCTTGGTGCTGGGTACTGTAAAGCTGCAGGAGGTTGTCAGCCTACAGTGAGCATGGGCATCCCACTGCCCCCCACCAGACCCCTGCACATCCTCTCTCCACAGCACAGATGGAGTTAAATGCTGCACGTTGCTGCAACGTGTTTCAACTGGCGCATCTTTTATCCAAGCACCAGAAATACGGGGGAGAACAGTTAAAAATAGCAGCTCCCATGTTCCTGCAAAAAAAAAATGTTCTTGTGCTTTGCTGGCTGCAGCCGCTGTTATGAAACTAAATATTTCCCATCAACAGTCATGAGCCTTCAAGTCCAGGCTGCAATCCTGTTTATTACAATAAGAGCCCTTACCCAGAATAGAACAGGATTGGAATAGAAAAACCAGCAAAGTTATTACTTTCCTAATTAAAAAAACCCCACACCATAGGCCGCTAATGGTGCCAGAAGGTTTGCTCTCCTCCTGCTGGATGGGAGCCCTGGCAGCACCTTCACACCGTGGTCAGTCTCCAGCCCCTGATGCTGCAGTGCAGGAGGCCAAGGTGGGTATGAGCAGGAACGTGTTGACCCCTGCACACAGCCCAAGGAAGCTGTTTGTGCAGGGTGAGTCCCGTTGAACAGCTTTCCCTTCGAGGAGGTGGCATTGCTGCGTGTGTGCAACCTCAGGTGAATTTTGCTGCATGTATTGGCTTTATTGAAACTAACAGGGGGGAAGATGTTGAGCAATTGCTTAGAAAAGAAAAAAACCCAAGCTTTTCCTGGCTGAAAAATACACTTAGTAAACAAATCCAAACTCTTTCAGAGAAGACTGAACATGTGAAATTCCCCTCCAAAACTCTTATGTATTCAAATGTCACTTTTTCAATGGATTCTAATCCTCATGATTTCTTTGAGGCTGTGTGACTCTGCCTGTGCTTGTTTTTGCTGGGATAATATTCAGGTATGGATCATGAAAAAAGCAAAGCTTGAAGATGGTGGTGTGCTGGTCAGGATGGCAGCAGGGCTGTCCATGTCTTGTTATGAATGAGTAACAGGGATTGGTGATTAATGGCAATTCCCATGTTAACAATGAGTTGGAAGGAGCCGGGTGTCAAAGCGTGGTTGTGCCACTTGTGAACCCAGGAGCACCCACTCCTGCTGCTGCCAGGGCCTGCTCAGAGCAGTTATTCCAAGAACTGAACAACAGAGGGGAATTTTTGACTTTTTTATTCTCTTTCACTTCCTCTTGGTCATTTATAGGAGGTGACAGATGCTCTACTCCATCTCTCATCATCTCAGCATTGCATGTATCCATCCTGATGTTGTATGAATGTGTCCAACCATATATCAGGGGTTTTTCCTCCCAGCTGAGTGAAGGATATGTGGACAATTCTGCCACCAATAAATACTACCCTCAAAAAAAGGGCTGTTGAATGGAGTAACCAAAGCATGTCCTGGTCTCTGGGTGAGACTGAATCAGTCATGTTGCTGCTTCCTTACAGGAAAATTGGTATTATTATTTGCAGCAGTAAAGACCAAACTCATCCTGATAACTGACGGGAGTGAAACATCTAAAGCTGGCTTAATTCTCATCAAACCTTCTCTGTTTTGTTCTACCACCATGGAAGCTGGAAAGCAAAGGTGATGTAGCTCCCAGCACTGTGGTCCTTCAGGTCAGCAGCTCCAATGCTCTGCTCCCAAGCCTTGTTTCTCCCTCCAGCACCTGCTTCTTGCAAAGTCAATCACTTTAATACGGTTATTTTAGTAATATGAATCTTGTCAATGATGTATGTCTAGGCTTGGACCCAGGAGGGAACAATTTCAACCCAAAGAAATTTGTCTTAGGAAGTATGTTTTCAGCTGGAACTTAAGGAAAAACAATGCTCCAGGGCTGTCCCAGCGGAGAAAAGATCTCCTGAACTTGCTGGACATGAGGATTTGTTCCTAGCCAGCATCCCCTGGGAAAGCCCAGGCACAGAGGACCTGTCATAGCAGAACTGCTCTGAAAAGCCACCTGCAACACTGAACTCAAGATTGATTGTGATGCAGCTTGTCCCAAACTCTCACTGTTTGCACTTAAATCGCAGAGTTGCGAAATGTTTGGGGTGCGACTGGGAGACATGGTCCTTCTCCATCCTTTGGAAGTGGGTGTCCTGTATCTCCACTGCTGCCTCCTGGGTTTCATCCCTGCTCCAAGCATTGTGCTGCTGCCTCCAGGCTGGTTGGGAACCTTTGCAAGGAAACAGCCCCTCAGAGAGTGCACGAGGTAGGTGATGGGGATGGTCTCCCTCCTGGGGGCTGGGCCGTGGTGAGTCCCAGACCAGCCTTCCTTGCCTGTCACAGAGCTGGAAGAAGGGAAGCACGTTACAAAACGTTTTCCATCACCAGGCAGCTGCCTTAGCCCTCGTGCTTAGTCATATTAACGAAAAATATTAGCAGGGCAATGTGTCAGCAGGTTACAACACTCCTGAACTTGGCCTCTCCAGGGCATTGTCCTTGAGCAGGAAGATGCAGTGATCTCTACGGCCCTGCTGGCACTTCCCGTAACCCTACCTCTGACAGGCCCCATAAATCCCTCTCAGATTGCTGATGGGACATAAATCTACCCAAAACCACAGTGCTTACCTAACATTATTGCATTATTGAGACATAAATCCCACATCAGCTCAGTGAAATGTCTGTGGCTATCGAGTTAAACAAGTCAAGGCAGCTACTTAACTATTCCCAAGCATCAGCTTATTAAAATGCAGGCATGGAGCATATGAGGAGCAGCAGAGATGTTTTCTGAGCAGTCGTTTATCACATTTGTACAACAAGTCCTAAACAGGTCTATGGCTCATGGCCATGCCTTTAATTTCCAGGAATGGAAACATGGCCAGGAAGAGCAGATATGGGAGTGTCTGTTCAGGTGCAGGGTGGGGAGTGGGGGCATCAGACTAATTGCTGCAGAAAGGACCATTTTCCTGCTGCAGCCAGATGGTGCTATGGCATTTGCAGCTTCCACTTCTCCGTGAAGAGAAGGGAGCTTCCCAGGAGGGGAGTAGAGATATATATGCTTGGGAAGGAGGGTGGGATTGTGAGAAGCAGGCAGCTCGGAAAACCCGGTGAGGTACAAGATGAAACACCATGTACTGTTATGGTGAAGTAACAAATAATGGAGCTTTTTGACAGCTTCAGTGGGAAAAAAAGAAAAAAAAAAATTCTTTCTGTGCTGTATTTTAGCATCCCTGTCTTGAGCTGGAATAGTCATGAATCTGCCCACAGAGCCAAGAGCAAGGATTTACAGCATTTCCTTCCTGTTACTCTCTCATTCGACCCACCATTACCCGTGACAGCGTACTGGGTGTCAGTGGTGCCTGGTGGGTGCTCACAGGCTGTGATCAGGTTTCCCAGGAGCTGTTCCTTCTGCACGCCCTGGAAGCTGAGCCAGGACTGCAGAGCCTCTTTGTGCAACCATCCAGAGAGGTCCCCGTTCAGGAAAATTAATCAAGCCCGTCGCCAACTGGGACAACCCAATTACATTGTGTTTGCTTGAGGTCAGGGGCTGGGGAGGAGAAGATTTAAAGCCCCTTCCCTCCAGGATGTGAAGCTCCATGATTTGGCTGCTCCAGCGACTGTTACACTCTGTGAATGCGTGAAATGTCAGCACGGCTGCTCCGTACGGTCCATGTGATCCAGTGACGTGGGAGCGTCCATGGGCGGGTGCCTGAGTCAGCACCCAGAGCTGGGCCCGTGCCCAGCGTTTATGTAAACTCTGAACTGCCTTTGGCCGCCCAGCTGAGCTATAAATCTCCCAAGTAGCTCTTCCAAGGATGCGGATCTTTCCAGAGTAAGCTGGGGCTGGAAGCAGAGGGAGAACAAACCCGCCTGCCCATCGGTGCTGCGTGGACCTGGATGGAGCCACCTCCAGGGGGATGTACAAGGAGGTGCTGTCTTTGGAGAGTCTCCAGGGCTGGATTCAGGAGTGGGCCAAATACCTGCTTGGGATGTCTCAGGTAGAAAGCAGCATCCTATTAGGAGTCAACCCATCCCATCCCCAAAAGGCCACAATTTCAAAGTGAGCACTCGCACGTGTAAGCTGTCAAACCCAATAAATACTTCTCTTTCATCTCTAGTGATGCCATGCTCCTCTCAAAAAATATTTGCAACATTATTGGAAGATTTCAAGAGGTCAACCCACCAGTTAACCTGCTCAGTAGCATATCCAAAATATGCAGAGCCAGGTAATCAAAACGTTTTGTGACCTCGGTGCAAGCAGCCACTCTCAGTGCTTGAAAGTGAAAAAGGACTTTCTTCCAAAGAAGAAAAAATAAACACAAGGATTGCTGCTAACTTAATGTGTTCATGGGGTCCTATCCATTGCCTTATGTTCTCCTTTAAAGGCTCTTTAAAGGTTATGGTATAAAAGTGAAACATCTTGCAAGTGCCCCAAGGGCTCTGGGACACTGTTTTCAAAAGGAAGTTTCTCTTGGGAGATAAAGTCCCTTTGAGACAACCAAAAATCAATTGCTTATGAAAGTGGAAGTTGGGCATCTGCAAAAAGCTGTCAAATAGCAGTCAGAAGACCACTCCACAAGCCTGAAAACAAGTGTTAGAAGGAGGTTCATGTTCATACTCCCAGTTGCTCAGAGCAGACCCTCTCTCCCATCTCCTGGGCTGGACAATGCTGTTAATGCCCAACCTGTTTGCATTTTATGGGCAAGAAGCTCTTGTGCCCTGTCTGGTAAAACCATCTGACAGTGCTGCAGCTGGGGGGCAAAAATCTGTGCCCAAAATCTAAGCATCGCACGCAGGCATGAGCTGCTCTGTGGGGTTGGCAGGAGAGGCACTGCTGGCCCCACTGAGCAGGATCCAGCGCTGGGTCCAGAGCTGTTATCCCAAGCAGTTTCTCCTCCAAAAAACTCTGCTGGCTTCCTCCCATCCAGCTGGGCTTTTACCCTGTGGGCTTGACCCCTTTCCTCAGGGCTGAAGTTCAAGTGACCTCTATTTAATTTCTCACCGCCTTCTGATGAGTGTTTTCATAACACTTTTCTGCTTCCCAGATTTGGGGACCTGCCAGAGGTCAGCCAGAGCTGAAATCCTCCTGGTCTTTGACATCTCATTTTGTTCTCCACAGGATATTTCCTGGAGAGCTCACAGGAGTTTTGAGAGAGGCCGCCTGACCCTGTGGCAGGAGGAATTGGTGCTGGCGGGGGTCATGGTGATGCTCTGTGATCCTGTAAATGGCTGGGAAGCACTTGGGAGGAAGCCATCAGCCCTGGGAAACAGGGACCAGGAGATGCACCTTCTGCTGTAAGCTCAGAGCAAAAGCATAGCTAACAGAGACATGCAAAAATAATGAGGGTGTATGTCTGCAAAGCTGGGGGGAAAGATGGGTAGCTCAAAAAGAGCAGCATGGGCAGAAGGCTGAGAAATACCTCCTTTCCACATGCAGTATTCCAGTCCCTGTAAAATCCAAAGAGATTTAATTGTTAGTCCAATCAATTCTCCTGTAGGTTATTCAGCATATTTTCATGGAGACCCTGATGACATTTCCAGGGACTTCAGGTCAGCCCTGTGCCCCCACCAGCAGGCAGTGCATCCCAAGTGCTTTTAGCCCAGGAGCCACCCAAGAGCTGCCAACAGTGTGAAATCTCTGTGCATCTAGGCTTGTTTGCCCCAGTCTGGATTGGTGTGCTCTTTTCTCATTTTCACCAGTTCTTGCAGTGTGTTTGGAGGCTTTGTGGACAAGACGGAGCCCCCTGAGCCTCTTGTGCTGCCAGAAGCCTGCAGCTCTGTGGGTGTGAAGCAGTTTGGGTACCCCTTTGGGTTATTTAGCCCCATTGGCATTGCAGGAAGCCCACCTCTTCCAGCCTTTTCATTGCCCATCTGCTTCTTTATGTGCCAGTGAAGCTGTCGTGTGTGCTCTGGACCCAGTGCCCATGTGCTTGGAAATGCCCCTGGAGACGATCCATCCTTTGGTGCCTCTGCTCCTTAGACATCTCAGCAGTCTGTTGACACTCCTCTCGCACACAGCAGTCTGAGCTGGTGCCAGCAGCCCTGCACTCTGACATGGAAGTGGCCAAATTCCCTTTTTGGTGTCCCTGGCTCTCTTTGATGTGTTGCCTCACTGCCCCAAGCCTACACACCCCAACCCATGCTATTCCCCAAGGTGAACCCCTCTTTCTCAACAGCCATGAGAAACATCCTCCTTGCGGTGTTTTCAGATGGAAAAATATGTCCTTGGTTGCTGTAAATAGCGCAGAGGAATGATTTCTCATGATCCTGCTCGGACCAGTGTTTCTGCTGCTTGAGCCTCATGAGCTCCCTGGGCAAATGTCAGCAGAGAGCCCTTCTCACCACGCTGTGGCCAGGCCCTTCCCATCCTGTTGACTTCACACAGGCCCTTAGGAGCCCCCGGGGAGCCAGAAACCCGACTGGCCCAGGTGCTGTGAGAAACAGCCCTTTGCTCTGGGAAGGCAAGCCCTGCAGGGAGAACATGCCTGCTCTGCACATGCCAGACTAAGCTTGGAGACCTTCACTGAACTGCCTGATATTTAAGTGTTGACTGTATGACTGTGGGATCCTTTCATACGGATAGCAGCTGACTCCTCCTGATTGTCTGTCCTGTGACAGGTGTCTCAGAAGGTGTTCAACAACTGCTGGCACCAAGATGTGTGTGGTGGGGTGAGGTAGTCCCTGTCCTACCTGGGAACATGACAGTGCTTACAGTGTGACTGCCTCTCTCTTCAGCTCCACGTGATCACAGGTTTCACACACCCAGGCATGTGTCTTGTCGGGAAAAGTGGGGAGGGAAAGCAGAGCAAACATATCTTAGCCTTTCTGGCCCCACTTCCAGCCCTGTGCAGAGCTCTACACCTGCACCCAGAGAAGGGCTCCCAGTAAGGTTCAGGGGTGCTGCTCCACTCCTGGGATTAGCTCCACTTTCCTCCCCTTGCTGAAGGTACAGCCTGAGCTGGGAGAGGCAGAGATGGAGGGAGGCTGGGCTGCACTACTATTTGTGACAGTGACAGCATCTTCCAGGCCACCTGTGTGGCCACTGGCAAAACAGGCCAGCCCAAATTCACACCCATGAGCTCATGCTGTGCAGAGATACAGCAGCAAATCGCCAGGGTCAGAGGTACAGCCAGCCTGGCCAAGGAAAGCACATGGACCAATGGAGCCACCACTCCCTCTGTGGGAGGAGAACATTCCCATCCAAGGGCAGTGGCAATGTGTCCCCAGAACACCCCAAGTGCAGTTCTCGTAGCTAAATAAGTCCTTTGCAGCGCTCTCTCACTTCTGAGGCTGCCCTGTGCATCACTTCCAGGCTGGCACAGAGAAAAAACTGGCCAAAGGGAAAAAGGAGGCTATTTCCCATATGGAAATAGGGCCGTACAAAGGGACCTTTGCTCCCAGCTCCCATGCTGCTGTGAATCACCCTCTTCCCAGCCCCCAGGGAAAGTGCCGCCAGAGGCAGACCTGGCACATGGAAATTTCAGCCCTAAAGTCAAATATTATTTCAAAGCTAATGACAAACAAAATCTATTTTTGCAGTGGTCTTGTTTAAAATATTTCCCCTTAATCCTCTTGAAATAGCAGTAATTGAAAACGGTTCCCTGCCATGCCAGTGCATACTTCTTTAATTATATCCTGCACTGCCTGTTTCCAATGACAGGCCCTCCCTATCTGTTTGCACTTACTGGCCTTATGAAAACCAGGCTTGGGCCCAAGTTGGCAGGAACCCAAAATAAGAAACATTTCCCTTCGGAGGCATCATTTGAGCTAATTAACTTTAATCAGCCCAGAAACATCTCTTTGAGATTTCTTCCCCCACCTTGGAGCTGGGGCGCTTCCAAGAAGCTCAGAGGGTGATGCTGATGAGCCTTGACTTCCCAGAGATGGTGGGTGATGATGTCACCCAGGGGAAAATGGGATTGTCCCACAGTTTATGGGGTGATGGCTTCAGGTGTTCAGCCAGTGTGGGGGTGGGACACCTCATTCCTCCCACCCTGGCACAAGCCCAGGGATGGCAACTCTGTGCTGGACCACAGGCAGCTCAGTAAAACCTCAGCCCCTGGAGCAAGGGGCAGGGGCTATAGAGCAAATTGGGCTGAGTTAGGTGCCATGACATCTCCCCAGGTGGGTTGTGGGGTGCTGAGATACTGACGTGGGTCTGGTGGCACTGCTGGAGAATCTGGTACCCAGACAGTGCCTGGAGCTTGGAGCCTGCAGGTGAAGGAAGGAGGGGAATGGTGTGTGTCTGCTCCAGTGCTTTCCATCCACCCGTGTTTGGTGCCTGGGCTGTGCATGGGGTGGGATTTGGGGCAGAGCTGCCAGGTTTCCCCCCAGTCTGGACCCCACAGCTCTGGGCTCACTCAAAATCACGGCTGTGGGCACTGAGAAGCCTGGATGTGCCCTGGATCACTGTGCCCTTCGAGCCTGGAGCTGGTGGCTGCATCCATGCTGTAGTGAGTCTGGGGCTGTTCATCCTTCCTGCCTTATGCATCCCTTGCTGCATCTGGGCCATTTTGGAGAGGGGATGGATTATTTTACCAAAATATTTCTCAACTGCTCTTTAACCTGCACCAGCTTAAGGGAGGAACTGACCTCATCACATGGAGTGATGAGACCCTGAAGGTACTGATGGGCTTTAATTGCCCCAAGCAGACGCACCTGGGATCCCCCCACCCACATCCACTGCCAAGGCCCAGGAGCCCATTTAAGCTGAGACTCAGACCTTCGCTTTTTCCTTGAGCATTGTCTCAAGCCAGAATTCAATTCTGTACTTAATTTTGAGTAGAAAGGTCCACTTTGACACTCTTTCTACTGAGTTTGGTGTTTGTTTCTTCTCAGGGATGGGATGTCTCCCTAAGCCAGGGTAAGTGAGCTAGGATTTTTGAGTAAATTCCAGCTGGATGGCTCCTGCTAGAGTGGGCTGTGTGTTGCAGTGCTGTTCTGGCCAAGTCTGAATGCCTGCAGACCCAGCAGCTGTACTAACCTGGAAAGGCACCAGCAGACCTCACTGTCCTGTTACATGACCCTTGACTTACCCATGCAGAGGTGGTGTGAGAAGAGCAACCCATAAAGGACAACTTCTGCATCTCTCGTGGAGTGCTCCAGGCTCTTTCTGAGTCCAGAGGCAGACTTAAAAATTCCACAGGTGAGTTAATTGATATCTCCATGCAAATTAACTCAAACCTGGAGGCAACATCTTCCACCAACTCCTTAAAATCCCTGCAGAGGACAAACCCATCACCATGTGGGAGCAGGTAGTGGTGCCGTGCTGCCTGGTGCTGCCTGCAGGGCTGGGAGTTGCAGGCTCTGTGGGAGAGCCAAGCACTCGGAGCAAGCAGTGTGAACAAACTCCTGTATAGCTGCGAGAGGCTTTAGAAGCAGGGGGTTAAATTGTGGGGAGTTTTTGGATGGCTGCTGAGTAGCCAGAGATGTAAAGGATGTGCTGGGAAGGGAGCAGCCTCAGTAGCAGAAGATGCTGGAGCAGCCCCGTGGGTCCCAGCACAAACTGGATCCCAGACACGGTGTTACACACACCCAGCAGGCTGGGTCTGGGTCAGGAGCATTCCACTCTGAGACTGGGGGCTTTTCTACCTTAGGTACCCAGATATTTTAGGGCTGCATCTGTCAAGGCTCCCAAAGTGTCTGGCTCTTAGCCTCCCAAGCTTGTGATCCAGGGAAATCCAACAGCAGGAGATGTTGGCTGTGAACAGAAAGGGCTGGTACAGGGAACTGGGGAAAATATTCTTGCAAGCTTGTTGGCAGGGCATTTAAAAGTAGTTACAGGAGTAGAAATGAGTGATTGCTCACTTTGCTGTCTGCTCCCTGTGCACTTGGAGAGATTTATTGACTGGGAGCAGAAAATCAGATCCCCCATTCCAAACTGTGTGTGCAACTGAGCACTAATTATTGTTAATGGTTGTACTGAAGTGGATAATTTTTTTTCTAGCATGACAGCAAGAATAATATGATTTAGCAATATCCCTACAGCAAAAAGGCCAGGAACTGTTCTGAGGTTATTTCTGCAAGCTTTGCACAACAGGCAGAGCAATGGCAAGAAGACAATGGGGAAGGGCATTGGCATGGATGGAAATCAGTCCCACTGATCTGAGGCTTGGGATGGGCTCAGCCAACAGAATTGCTCATCCATCTGGGAACAGGGGAGCTCTTAGAGCAACAAACCACAGGAGAACGGCCCCAGTGGTGGTTTGCTATGCAGAGATGTTTTTTTTCCATCTTCCTGGGCTGCAAGGGCCTTATGAGTTCATGGAGCTGAGGTCTCCTTGTGGGGAGGCACAGAGGGAGAAGTGACAGCCCCAGGTCCTCTCCAGCCAAAAGCTCCCAGCTCCTACTCATTAGATGTGCAGTGGAGGAAAAAGGGCAGATGTAGCTGTGTTTAAGTGCAGGTCCCAAAACCAAGGGGGGCTGTGTTGCAGCCATTGCTGGTCAAAGGGTTGTGCTTTGTACCGTGAGGAATTCAGTGCTTTTGCTTCACAACCCATCTGATCGTTAGGACTGTCTGGGAGTGAGGAGTGGGAATTCTGGACTAGCCGTGGCTGTAGAGGTGAGTGGAATAAATAATACAAGCCTAAAGGAACCCTAGCAGTAGGGATGTTGCTTTTGAATATGTGATATGGTGGAGTTATAAAGTATAGAAATATATAAACCAGCTCACACAGTTATGGGGTGTGTGACCAAACAGAACCTGGGGAAAGCAATCTACAGGGCACATAAATTGTAGGCTAGTGGGGGAAGCTCCTTCGGGCTGCTTTCCCTCAGGCAGCAGTGATTTAGCATCCTGAAAGGGCAGAGTCAGCTGGAATGAGTGTGGATATGAAAACCCGAATGCAAGGTGTACTCTTGTGTGATAAGATCTGGGCTTTGAATGGAAAAGGCGGTAGTATTTCACCTGTTGATTCAGAGTTTCTCCCAGGTTTCCTGGCACAGAAACAGGACAAACTGGATCATGTGTGTGATGCCAATGCCCGTTTAAACATCTGGATACATTTTGCTTTATATGTGTGCTAAGTAATTCTAATATATGACTGGGAGCTATAAATATTCCCATAATGACAGTAGGATACCTCTTAGCAAAGCTTTGTCCAAGCCAGGCTTAGAGCAGCCTGAATACAGGAGTCACAAGAGGGAGCTCGAGTTGAACTTTAGGATTTTCTCTAAGGTGTAAGAGGGTCGATTTTTTTCCACTTTTTTTACCTTCACGATAGGCATAAAGGATAGAAACCTCCACTGCAAAGAAAGTTGATGCCCCTTTTTTAACAGCTTTTCCCCTGAAGCTGGGGCTTGAGCAGCAGGACCATCTCTCCCCAGAGCTGTTTTCCATGGTCGGAAGTTTTTTTTCCCTTCTATTTAAAAAATCATCTGCAAACAAAGTTCTGAGTATCTGCCTGGCCAGGATTATGACTTGTGGGTTGGTTTTTAAGGGAGCCTGCTTTCCCTGGCTTCTGCTCCCAAGCAGCTCTTGTGGCCACCAAAGCCTTCTCACCAGCTTGGTCAGGAGCTCTTGGTGTGGGGAGCACCTCTCTAACCTTCCCAAAAGGGAGCAGACTGAGGCTTTGGAATTTGGTCTGTCCCCAGGCTGGGGAGAACTGGGGAATGATCCCACATCCTTCTGCCTTGGTGTCCCTCACAAATGACCATGTCCATGACCAGTCTGTGCTCAGGGAGGAGAAATCATTACAAACACCCTGCCTGCAGCTTGGGTGGGTGCTGGGGAGTCAGGTTGCTGTACCCAGAGACCATCCACCGAGAAGGTCCTGGGGCTGGAGCAGCCTTTGAGAGAGCAGAAGGGACATTGTCTTCTTCAGATGGGTTTCTTGTAAACTGACAATTAGCTGCCCTAAAACCATAATGAGGCAACTTGACTCTGCTGCTGGGGAGTGGTGGCCTGCAAAGGGAAAAGGGAGCTTGTGCTGTGCCCTGGGGAGGCCAAGCATGAGGACCTGGCCGGGACATCCTGCTCCTTCTCTGCCTTGGAGGAAGCAGCCAGGCAAGCACTGAAGATGTCCAGCTTGCAAGGGTCCATCTCCTCTGGCTCCTGAGCACGCCCTCATCCTGCCAGCCCTCGGTAATCACGGTGTCATGTGGAGGGCTTGGAAATGTTGGGTTTGCACCAACCTGCACCCTGGGTCTCATCTCCACTGGAGGAGATGGGACAAGAGCTGCCCACATGGAAATACAGTACTGAAGGTGCTGGGCTTGATCAGCCTTCCTTCTTTTGCAGCCTTCATCCCACTGAACTTTCTGAGCCTCTGGAAAATTTGCCTGCTGAAGCGAGGAGGGGATCCTTGCCTTACCAGAAGGCACATGAGCAAAACACAGCAGTTGAACCCATGGATGGCAACTTGGAACTCATCCGTGCCCCCAGGGCTGGAAGGCAAGAGGTGAGGATGAGTGTGTGCACCTGGAGGTTTGCTCTGGGGTTAGTCACTGCCCCCATAACTAGGGGGGTTAAGCCAGATGCCTTCTGCCTCTCTCCCAAGGACAAAAGAGAAAGCACAGTTAATTAGCAGGAATTATGTAATTGTTGAATCCACAAAACCTGTTTCAGGCAGGTGTGGTCACAAAGCACCCTGGAGCAGTTTTGTGTTAAGACTTGAGCTGCTGGTGTCCTATTGCTGAACAAAGGCTGTGTTTCTTCCTTATGCAAAAAAAAACAGCTCAAACCTTGAAATCCCAGTCTGGGACCTCACCATGACTTGGGGCTCCAAGGAAGGCTTGCATGTTGGTGACAGAGGACAGCTCTTTCCCTAGGGAGGTCCCTGATAAAATACTGGCAGGGCATGGGTAGGAGAAGCAGCCCAGGGGAAAGGGTTTTCCTGAGGGAGGAGTAACCCTGGGGACAATTTCCTGCATTTGTAAGCTGATCCCATGGGTTCTCCATGTCTGTGACCTGTCTGGGCCCAGAAGAGCTGCAGCAATAGCTGCAAGCACAGCAACCACTCTGTGCATGGCACATGTATTGCTGACCAGGGCTGTGCTTCACTGGGGGTGCAGTGAAGGCATTTCACCCATGTGTCCTTGTGGTCTCTGCTCCTCCCTGCTGGGTTGTGTAAGGCTTGGAGCAGAGCAAAAGCCAGGTCAACATGGGGTGCCTTTACACCCGGTGTTTGCCCAAGGAAAGGATGATCTTGTCCTGAAAACCAGGCACCTTGGAGCAGCTTATGCTGGAATGGGACGGCTGTGGCTTCCCCTGAGGCTTTATCTGATGCTCTCAGCAGTTTCTGGGGCTCTAAGGGTCTTGCCTGCATCCAGGCAGCACCTCTAGGAAACAACATGTGGAGGAAAAAAGAGGGAGGACAGACAGAGGCTCTGCCTGAAGGAGGAATCCCAGAGAGCGCATGGAGATGGACTGGAGGTCTGCAGGACACCGAGCTCCAAGACTGGGTGGCAGTGTAGGGGGAAAGGGTGGAGAAATGTCTTTGAGATAGGTGCAGTGAGATGTGGTATCCTGTTGCAAATGCTGTGCCTAAAAAAACATTTCATGGGAAGCATGGTTGATTTGTCCTTGTCTGGGAAGATGACTTGTGAGCTGTGAAGCTGAGGGTGAGTGATGCTCTTAGAGCTCCCACTTCCACTGAAAGGCTGCAGATCAGAACAGATCCCTAGGGAATGGCAAAACCAACTTTCAGGTCTGATGGAGGGTTAAGGAGAGTGAAGAGATATTGTTACATTTGCTCCTCATCAAAAGGTGTTAACTTCCTCTTGGGGTGCTCCATTCATCAGCCCCAAACCTAGTGGGGAACGGTCCTGCAGCCCTTTCCTGAAAGGATTTTGCTCACAAACAGAAATGGGGAAGAAGGGTGTGGAAAAGCAAATGAAAAATGGACCTTTAGCTGCTCCAAAAAAAACAAGGGCCGGGAAAGCGCTTCAATGCAATTAGTGCCGAGCCAATGCGAGGTGACCGTTCTTGTGCACGGCCCCGCTTTGTGCCGCTCCAGCTGCGGATTTATTGTCCCCCGATCAGCCGTGGCTGCTGTGGCGCTGCCGGCAACTCAGGAGGGCTCTGCCCAGCCTCCACACAGGGTGTTTCTCATTTCAGACTTCAAAGATGGTTGAACAATGTAGCTGCACATCAAAAGGCTGAGCGGAGCCCGGGGGATGCGGGAGGAGAGGATGAGCGCTGGCCCCAAGGGAGTCGTGGGCGTCTGTGGGGCGCGGGGCCCCACCGCTCCCTAGCTGGGCCAGCAGCGCCTCCGGCAAGTTTGGCTCATCCCTGGCTGCCAACGGGGTCGGGAGCCCAGCTGCAGCGCTATGGTCAGGGCGCTGTGCTGAGGTTTATTCCTTTCGGGTACAGTGAGGAATCCGTCTCTTTCCAGCTGTTTCGGCTGGAACGCTTCCCTGGGGAAGCATCTGGCTTCTGCTGTGGGTGTTGTGCTGCATCCATGGTCTGGCAGAGCCTGGTCCAGCCAAAGCATGAGCAGCCTGGCACGTGGGCAAGCCCCTGCCCAGCCTTCCAGACAGGTTGTGTGCCGAGCACCCTTCTGGCTCCTGCCTCGGAGAGCCTGTGCAGGCAGGGAAGGGATCAAAAATGGATTTGTCACTCTCTGCTTTGCTGCTGCTGCCAGCAGGAGCTTTGATATGGCTGCACAGGGACAGGCTGTGGTGGCCAATGCCCCTATCCACCAGCTGCCCTCCGTTAAGGAATGCACACGTCCCGGCGCATCAGCCCCGACGGCAGCCAGGACACACAGAGCTGCAAATGAGCTGTGCACGGACCTGGGGTCAAGGCACACACCGAGGCAAACTGTGCCATCGACCTCTTGTGGCTCCTGTCACTGCAGGTGGTCCCCGGCAGGATCCCTGTTGTCATGCTGTGACCCTCTCTGAGCGTCGCAGGGAACCAGCCTCAGCCGTGCCGCTGCTGCGAGGCAGCTTCGGGCTGGAAGAAGGCAAGATTTTGTAGGTGAGACTGCTTTTTCCCAACTGTTCATGCTCTTTTGGATGTTGTGCACACTCTTTTCTTGCTTTCCTGTAGCATGTGATAAGAAGTCCATCAAGAGGTTGTAGATGTTGAGCATTAAAAGTGTTGAAGCTTTTGTTGTTTTTTTTTCCTTACAGGGATTTTTGACCACCTTAACTTTTCTCCTTTTTGCTGCCTTTCCACACCTGCAGTTCTTGTCCTTTGTTTTCCATTTTCAGAGAGGAGAGAGGAATGCCAAAAGATATGGGTTTTTTCTCTTTTGAGGAAAATGGCAGGTGGGAAATGATGAGTCAAGAAGTCCCTGGTATTTTCCTCTTTCGGTTGCTTGATATCAATGTCACTCCAGGTAAATTATTAACTCTTCCTCCACCTTTATTCTCCTTCTTCTGCCCTGGGTTGACCTTTTCTATCCCCATGCCAGGGCCAGGGGCTGGTGTGCTATCATGCTGTGTATCACTCCTGGTGTTGTTTTTTGACAAATGTTTGAACTCACAGAAGTCCTCCTCCAGGCTATAAATAGGAAATACCAGTCAGAGGGGCTAATCTGCAGTGGTGTTGACATCCCCAACAACCCAGGATCACCTGTGAGTGCTCAGCAAAGTCTTCCTAATTATCCCCAAATGTCAGCTAACAGCTTGTCTCTGGTGTGGGGAGAAAACTTGGTGGTCCCACCAAAAGCTAGTGTGAGGTTGTGTGGGAGGTGCTGGTGTCTCCATAACCAGAGGTTTTTAAAAGAGGAAGGAAACAAGGTCGTATAGGTCAGTTAGAGCTGCTTTTGAAGGAGAGGATGGGTCAGATGTTCCTGAGGTTCCTTCCCATCCTGCCTCCTAGGGACCAGTGAAGCCACTGGAGGTGAAAGAAGGTCTGTCAGCTGATGCGATCTAACAGACCCCCACATTGCCTGTGCTGGAAATTTGGAACCTCTGAGGGTCTGACAGTAGAGCCTTGCTTAGCACTGGGGGCTTTGTCATCTGAAACCCCCTGATTTCTGGGAATAAATGCACAAAAGTGCTCCTAGGTAGGAGGTTGAGATGGTACAGGGGCACATCTCTTCCTGAATTAGGCTTGCTACCGTGTCCCCATGCTGAGGGATGGGAATGCCAGCCACAGTCACACATCTGCTGGAGAGGTGGCAGGAATTGGAAGCATTCAAAGTGCCTGGACTGGGAGCTCAGTCAATATTGTGGACAGGGGTCACCTGCACTGAGTGATTTTTTGAAAGCACTTGAAGGCTGATGGATGACTTCACCTGGTGGTGGTAGGAAGGTGGCTTCTGGTTGGGCTGTATATGACTTAACCATGTGCTCTCCAGACAGCTTTTCCTTAGGATTATTTTGCTTACAAGTTACCTTATCCATAAGTCCTATTTGCTCTGACAGTTTCTGCAGCAGTTATGTTTTATTACCTGTGAAATGACAGACACAGATCTCTTAACAATGAGGTTTGGCACAGATGAGCTGAGGAGGGTCTGAAGTCCTTCCTAGTGCTGCATGTTATTTGGGTGCATCTCCCATGGCACTTGGGGACCATATATGTTTATCCACTTTGAGTCCTGGCACGAGGATGTGGTGACCAGTGGAGGGTGTATATGTCCATCAGGGTTGTTCTTGCGAAGGTTTTGAGCAGCTGTCTGGGGAAGCTCTTAAATGAAGGTTTTAAAATCTCCAAACCTAAGAAGTTGAAAACCACAGCTCTCTAGGCTTTATTAACACAACAGATTTGACAAGGGCAGCAGTCTTCTCTTGACAAATTCCAAGGTTACATGCCTAGGAAACATGGTGACTTATTAAATCAGGTTAAGCTTTGCCAAGTATGTTGGAGCAAAACACTTGCACCCTCCATGCAGAGACCTCCTTGCTTAGCAAGTAAATCCCTCTCCCACAGTCAGTGTTACAGCCCATGTCTGCTCCAACACATCCTTGGGTCTCCTTAACAATGGTGTTTCTGGGAGGTTTCAGGAGTAGTTCAAGATACTGAACATACCTAGCCCTGATTAAAACAGAAATGCAAGTGTCTGACCAGTGTTTGTCACTGGGATTATCCTCTATGTTCTGGGAATAGTAAATATGAATCAACAGCCCCTGCTGCTTTGGGTTTGTCTTTGTTTTTAAGGAGGAAATTGTCTTTTGCCTTGGAGGTGAAACAAAAGCCTTTTTAAGGCCAAAATCCAGGCTCTAAGTGGGGGAAACGCTTTTTCACCAGCAGCTACTTGCAGCCCCCCCCTCACCTCACGGATGGCTGTATCCCACAGCCTTGCAGGAAGCAGTGGGAGGCAGTAGCCACCTTTGGGGCAGCCTCACCTCCACGTGCAGTGAAGAAAAGTCAGTTAAAGCCTCTGGTCAGTAAGGGGAGGCAGTGATAATATTGGAGAGGGGAAGATTAAGTGTTTCACTGACGAGCCCGATGCCACATTCCGTCAGTTCTGAGTGTGTGTGGCAGCAGCAGCTCTCGGTGGAGAGCACCCCACTTTACTTGGAGACCGGCTTAACAAGAAACTCCACTGTTTTTTCCTTGTTCTTTTTCCCCTTCACTATGACACATGCCAAAAGCAGCTGACACAAGCCTAGAAAAGAGCAAAGCAGGCCGTGCTAAGACTTGTTTCTACATAGTTTTGCCCTTCCTTGGCTTAAAGTGTTATTTTAAAAAGCGATTGTAAGAGTGGTGCCAGAGTTTTTCAGAGAAGGTGAGTTTTCCCATCTGATTAAGAGTTAATAGACATATTTAGTTTCTCCTTCCCTCTACTTTAAGGAGAAAAGCCTGTCGAAGAGCCCAGGCTCGTGCCACAGGGCTGGGCAGCTTTGCTCCTCAAGGGGAGAAGGGACTTCTCAGTAGACAGGTGTGAATATCCCATTCCCAGTTCTCATCCTGAGCCACCACTGGATACTTACTGCTCCTAGCATTCTCTCTGATCCCCCATGATGGATATACCCCTGGAAGCTAGTGGGGCTTGTGGCCCCAGCATGTGAGGACGTGGACAAACCCAGCTGTTTGGTGTCCCAGGCTGGCTTGAGGGAAGGTGGTAAAACAGTTCCTTGAATTTTGTGCCTTCACCTGGCCTCACTCCAACCCTTGGAGAAAGCCCATTTTCCTCAGCAGTTTCTCTGGGCAATGGCAGTGGCAGAGTCCCTCTTCTGTCCCCAGTGGGGTGGCAGCAGATCTCCCCTCCCATCAGAAATGGGCACAGGGATCTCTATGGCTCTGTCTGGGTATCCCAGAATACTATTCCCTGCTATACCAGCAGCAGAGGTGAGTAAAGCAACAAGAATTTTCCTGTGTTTCCCTGCCAAGGGCTTTTCAGTGCCCTGGGCAAGCACGTGCATAATTACAGTAATTGCCTCCCTGCTATCGAGTGTCCATCTCCACTAATGCTTTGTTCTGCACACCTGGGCCAGACCATTGCCAGAGGTATTTACAGAGGGGAACATCACAGTCCTGAAGCAGATCACTGAGGCTTTGGAGGTATTTCTACCCTTGACTCCTGGTATCACTCACTGCATCTCATCCTGCACCTCTGAACTGGATTCCTCATTAGAGCCACCCCCATTGTAAGCAGCTGCAGCAAAGGCATCTGTCCCCTTTTCTGTGCCAGTAGCTTATCTTCTCCAAAACACAACTTGTTCTTTTAGCAAACTTCCCTGAACTGCCCTCCTAAAAGCAGTAACACCACTTCTGGGATGCTGCCACAGTGTCCTTCTAACTGCGAGTCACCTGAATGCCTCCTGGCAAACTCAGAAAAGCAGGATTATATACAGAACAAAATATCTGCCCATGTGGGTTCCCTACTCTTTTTTGCTGAGTGCTGGCAAGCATCTTTGCAGGTGCAAGGTTTTGTGCATCTGGAGAAGGGTCCAGTGTGAGAGAGAGCTGAGGGACAGAACCTGTACAAATTCCCAAAATATCAAAGATGTGCAAGAATTGTTGCCCGTTTGCCCCAGTAACCATGTCCCGTTAGCCTGGGAGAGCAAATCTGCATGTTTCTTCATGCTGCTGAGAAGGGTCTGAAAACTGAACTCCAAGGAATGAGTTTGATTTCACGGGCTCCAGCCCCTGCAAGCGCATCACTCTTGGATACTACTCTGAGCTGTGCTGGAGCGTGGCTGGCACAGCCAACCCAGAATGGGCATGTGCTCTGAACCTGATGCGCTCCCAAGGGCAAACCCTGGAGTGAGGCACTGTGTGGAAACAGAGATCCTGGGGTAGGGAAGCCTGAGAAGGCTGATGTGTCTCTGTCTCTGCAGCAGATGGATGGCAGCCCAGGCAGCTGCACTCCTGACAGTGCCCCGACACAGGAATGGTAAATCCTGTTCCTCCATGAACCAAACAGTTTTCCTTCAAGTGCCTGGGTCTGCCACAGAGCTTAGCAGACTTTTCCTATGGCTAATTACCTTCCTTCTTACCAATGTGCATCTTACTTCCACTTATCATTTCAGCTCCTGGCTCTGAGCCCATCTCACATCTCTGCAGATCAAAATGTGGGGTCAGAGCAGACATCTATGTTGGATACTTTACTTACCACCCTCTGTTCTGCAGTCCTTGGATGGGATTTCCTCCCTCCCCCTTGCAGAATCCTTGGTTACTCAAACTGCTTAAAGAGCTGATATCAAATCTGGGGCCATAGCTCTGGGAGTGCCTTTATCAGTGACAAGGTGATGCCTTGATGGGGCTGGCAGCTTTCACTGTCCCCCGTGCTCACCCAGTGAGCTGCCTGCTGTCACCCCCATGGCACAAACAGCACTGTCCTTTTATAGTCACCAGTTTTCCTAAAGACCCACTCCTCTCTCAGCTGTCTCTCCATGGTCTCTGTGCCTAGCTGTATTCATTGGCAGGGATTTCATACTTTCTTGCCAGTCACCCCTAAATGTACTGAGTAGCTGGGAGAACAGCCCTGTTCAAAGCCATCCTTATCCCTCTCATCTCCATGATCATTTACCCCTGGGAGACACCTGGATGGGCTCTATGTCCTGCATTGATATTTAGACCAATGTTTTCCCTTTCTTTGTGCTTAGGACCTTGGTACACTGATGTTTGTGGCCATTCCACACTCTCCCAGTTGGCATAGGGAGTCTCTTGCAGTTGCACATCTGGCTAATGGCACGATGCAGCCTCTGTGTCCTGTGAGCAGTGACCACAAAACCAGCTCTTTGTTTTTTTAACTCGATGGTGCCCCGGGTGCAAAGTCCTGCCTAAACCCTGCTGTTTGTCAGCCTCTTCAGCTCCCTTTTGGAAGGGAGGTGGTGCGAGTCAAAACATCCCACAGCTGGAACTGCCCCTGCACCCATCCTCCTGGCACGACTGCGGGACACATCCGGACTGCTTCGCTGCCTCCCACCCACTCAATCCCTGTTAGGGCTCATCGGCTGGGCTCTCCAGCTCGGCTCTCCAGCTCGCTCCACAGGGCAGCAGGAGAGTCCAGCCACTCCTCCCACTGCAAACCCTGGTTGTGCAACTGCCGTGGGAGTGGGGTGGGCGCCTGCCTTCCCTCCCCTGCCTCTGCCAAAGCGCCAAGTCCCGCCTATAAATCAGGACCAGGAGGGGCTCTCTCCCTGCGGCAGAGGTGAGACAGCAGCACAGGTGGCTGAGGCTGAGAGGTAAGTGTCCCTGGGGGGCTGAGAAGCCTTCCCTTCCCTCCCTACCCTGCTTCTGAGGTTGGCTGCTATGGGCATTTGCAGGGAGAGTGTGGCAGAAACGGGCACAGGGGAGCAGAGAAAGTGTTTCCTGGGTGTTATTTCCACCTTCTGTGCAGGAAGGCAGAGAATCAAATAGGATATGTAGCTGGGAGGTGTTTGTGATATAAGGTAACTCCCACCGTGCAAAAAAAACCTTCCCCAAAAACAGTTAACAGCGAGCAACTCATGCTAATGCTTTCTTCATTTACACAGGAGCAAGTCCAATTTTTATTCCAGCCTTAGAAGCACAGTATTCATTAGGTGTTGCTTTCTGACTGAAAGTTGAAATTGTTCTGGGGAATATGGTGTTTTTTAGAAAACACTGTGCCTAACCCCATTTTTTTAATGAAGACTTTTTAAAAGTTTTTTCTGATGGATACCCCATCCTCTGTGTCTTGTGGAAGCTGAAAGTGCTTCTCTGCTCAGAGGAGCCAATGCCACCCATAATGACATCCCGGTGTGCTGAATTAATAACTCAGTGGAGCAGGGTGCTCCCTGCCAGCACTGGGGTTAAAACAGAGGCTGCAGCAGCACCCGAGGCACCTGTGTGGGGGTCCCTGCTCTGGCAACATCCAGCCCAAGCCATGGAGCCTGGCCATCGTCCCTTGTTTTATTGCCTGGGACTATCAGAAGGATTTGGATCCATCATCCCCATTGCAGCTCTGGGAGCCTTGTAGGGCTGGATGTCCATTCAGAGGCTGCTGCCTTTCAAGCCCTGGGGTGGAGCTGCTTGGAGCCCTGCAGCAGGCACAAAAGCATCCTAAATCCAAGGTGTGCTACATCTGCAGCCTGTCCATCAGCCTCGGTGGCTCTGTCAAAGTCAGCAGCATCTTCTCTGGTGATGGGGGACAGGACCCTGTCAGAGATGCAGAGACTGAATAGTCTCACTGGACTTTTTTTTTTTATCCTGAGAAAGGCAGGGCAGGTATCCAAAGATAAAAGTATTTGCAAGACTGATAAGGCAGGATAGTTTAAACACAGCTTGTAAAAAAAAAATTGGCAGCGAATTGTGGCTTGACTACATACTTTCAAAGCCAGTTTCCAGGAAAACTGCAGGAGTTTGGAATCAGCCTTGTGAGTACACTGTAAAAGTAGATGAATTTATTAAATTTAAAAAAAAAAAGGAGAAAATGACGATTTAAAGATATTTAATCTCACTTGTAAATGAAGAGCCCAGAATGCTGGTAAAAGGAATGAAGATTTGGGGGTGGCATATAGAGAAATCCCCTACAGAGGATATGCCAGGAGCTGCTCCCTGAGAGTGTGATGACTACCTGTGGGGTTTCTCCCAGGTTAAGCCCTGTTCACAGCCTGGAATCCCGGTAGAGGCAGCAGGGATGAGAGTGGCCGTGGTGGGCGCTGGTGTCAGTGGGCTGGCAGCCACCAAATGCTGCCTGGACGAGGGGCTGGAGCCCACCTGCTTCGAGCAGAGCCAGGACATCGGGGGGCTCTGGCGCTACACGGTGAGCCATCGGCGCCTGTCCTCCTTCCTTTGGGAGCTGCAGCTTTGCAGGTGGGGAGCAGGTGGGCTCCAGTGGATGGGGAGGGGGTGTGAGAGCTTGCTGGGTGCTGGCCTCTCCTGCCTGCACTCCCTGAGACCAGAGGAAGGGCAGCAGGGGACAGTCCCCACCGCGGGCGCAGGGCTGACGCCCCCGGGGTGCCATGCCAGGAGCACATCGAGGCCGGCCGGCCAAGCCTCTACCTGTCAGTCATCAGCAACACCTCCAAGGAGATGTCAGCATTCTCTGACTTCCCCTACCCCGAGGACTTCCCGGTGTTCCTGCCCAACGCCCGGCTCCTGGATTACCTCCGGTGCTATGCTGAGCACTTCAGCCTCCGGGAGCACATCAAATTCGGGGTGAGTGACGGGTGCCCCAGCACTGCCCCGCTCCCCACACACTCTGGATGCCAGTGGTGACTTTGCTTCCCTCCCATGTTTCAGACCGCTGTTGTCAGCATCCGGAAACACCCCGACTTTGCCACCACGGGCCAGTGGAATGTTGTCACGGAGGCAGATGGGAAGCAGGCATCGCATGTCTTTGATGCTGTTATGGTTTGCAGTGGCAATTTGTCCGAGCCATCCCTCCCCCTGCACTGTTTTCCTGGTACAGTATAGGGCTGCCTGTGGTTACCTTCTTCCAGGGGCTGGGGGGACGTTTAGAGGTTCCTCGGGGAAAATGCTTGCTTTCTTCCTTTACTTGATTCTGCTTTCCAAACCTCCTGGCACAAACAGCAATACATCCTCGTGCTTCAGCAGCTTTGTCTATGAGGCCCTGTTTTGGAGAGGAAGCACCAATTCTGTGTGCGTGGGATGGAGGGCTGGACCTCCCCTAGTCCCGGGTGGCCAGTGATTGCACTTCCTTACTCCTGCCATCTGGATTGTTTCTACGCCAGTTCTCCCAACAAAACCCACAAATGCTCAAATACTTAAGAGCTTCGTTTCTTTTTCCCCAAGGCATCGAGAAGTTTCGAGGCCAGTACTTTCACAGCCGCCAGTACAAGCATCCCGACGTGTTTCAGGGGAAGCGTGTCCTCGTGGTGGGCATGGGCAATTCCGGAGTGGACATTGCAGTGGAGGCCAGTCGTGTAGCTTCCAAGGTACCACTACCCAGCCACCCCAGGAATGTGGGGAGGGAGGTGCGGGGGGCAGTAGCTCAGTCTGCTGTCACCGCAGGGATGTGGTGTATTAACAGTCCTTTTGAACCTGAAGTTCTTGTTCAAAAACCTACCCTGAAAGAAAGCTGGTTTTCCTCTTTGCTCCTGTTCTACCTCCATTATCAGCAGCCAAGAGGTCTTAAAAGATGCTGTTGCTGCTTTTCCATTGTGCAGCTGTCTGAGCCACGCCCCTCTGAGTTACTTTTCAGCACGAATTTCAGCAAACTCATCAGCCAAATCATTGATTCCCTGCTCTCTCCCAGGTGACCATTTGCACCCGTCGGGGTGCCTGGCTGCTCAGCCGTGTGTTTGACCATGGCTACCCATGGGATATGATTTACAACACTCGCCTCATGAGCCTGATCAGAAACAACCTCCCTGGGCCCCTTTCATGGGGATGGGTTAATTACAATATTAACCAGCGGTTCAACCATGAAAACTATGGCCTTCAGCCAGAGAAGAGGTACTTGGTGGTTGCCAACCCATGCAGATGGGTGGTGTGGGCAGGGGGAGATCTCCAGAAACCAACATCAACCGGTGCCCAGACTGTGGTGATCTCCAGCCAGGAGTTCACAGCCCAGCAGGAGAAGATAAGCTGTACCCCCTTAGGTGGTGAGAGATGGAGCACGCTGGAAAAGCCCAGGAAGGACCAGAGGAGTTTTCCTCATGAAGCTCCCTGATGAAAGAGGAGAAGAAAGGCTTAAAGTGTGGATCAGCTCTGAAAAGAGATGGTTTAAAGAGCAATTGAGTGGAGGAAGAAGGCAGGAAGTGTCCAGGAATCACTCACACTGTTGGACAGGGTGACACTGGTGCAGGGGTTGAACGTATCAGTGTTTGGAGAGGGGGAGGCAGGGCTGTTTGCTTAGAGCAAATGACACTGGGAAGTCGTGAGCTGGTGGGCCCAAGGGAAGGAGGAGCAAGGGCACTGGCAGGGCTTGTTCATGGTCTCCTGTTCTCAGAGCCCCTCTGCTCTCCACAGCTGCCTGGTGCGAGAGCCTTTGCTGAACGACGACCTTCCGAGCTACATCCTGACAGGGAGGGTCACCATCAAGCCGGGCGTGAAGGAGTTCAAGGCCAACTCTGTTGTTTTCCACAACTGCCCTGAAGAGGAGCCCATTGATATCGTTGTCTTCTGCACAGGCTACAACGCCTCCTTCCCGTTCCTAGAAGAATCAGTCGTCAAGGTGGAAAACAAGCACGCATCCCTCTACAAATACGTGTTCCCAACCCACCTGCAGAAGCACACCCTGGCTGTCATTGGGCTGATTAGGCCCTTTGGAGCCATCATGCCTGTGACAGAGATGCAAGCACGCTGGGTGACCCGTGTCTTCAAAGGTAGGAGAGCTAACGGGAGCTCTCCTGGGTACCAAAATACAGTTCAGATTGGACGCGTCTCATCCATCTACCAAGATGGATTTCTGTCCTTGGAGATCTCAGAGCTAAGAAGCTCATTTCAGAGTGGACAGGGGAGTATTTTCAGGGCTCAGACTTCCCAAGTTATTTCACTTCTGCTAAGCTGCAGCAACAGCTGTGAGGAAAGAAACCTACTGGGGTTTTGTTTGGTTTTTTAATAAAAATAATAACAACAACCTCCCACTGGGCTCACGGGGAGGGCTATATCAAGGCTTCTCCACAGAGCCAGGGGAAGCTCTGTGGTTTCTCTTTGGGATGATCCTCTCTGGGGCTTGCACAGCCCATCTCACTCCATGTCACCTGCCTGTGCCCTGATAGCACAAATCTGTAAGAGCAGGAGAAAGTAAGGGTGAATTTGCACCACTGTGGAGCACTCTGGTCTCTGGCAGAATTGCCAATGACAACCTAAACCTGAGCAATGGGGTTTTCCTGCCCTCCAGAGGTAGGGATTCTCATGTTTTGCATCAGTGAATGAGTTCACAAGTCCCCCCAGGAGCTAAACTCTGGAGGACGCTCTCCTCTCTCTCCTAGGCTTGTGTCGGTTGCCTCCTCAGTCTGTCATGGAGAAGGAAGTAAATGAGAAGAAGAAAAACCAAGTTAAATGGTAAGTCATTCCCTGGAGCCTCAAAGGGGTTTTATTGTGGATTGAAAAATCCCTGGAGTTTTGGGGGCAGCAACACACAGGCTCACACTCTGCAGCTGCTCCCTGTGTGTACGGCAGAGGCAAGGGGGAGTGTCCAGATCCAGCCTCCCCTTTGCTCACTTGAGCCAGTATAACCTTTGATTTGACGCTGGTATTTTGCCTGTTGGTGGCAGGAAGAGATGAATTTAGGGTACTTAAGTCTAAAGCTTGCTTAGGAGTTGGGGAAGTGTGCCAGGGTCCCCAGGAACGGAGAGAGAAAACGGCAGAGAAATTAATGGTAATAAATGCAGGGTAATTCAACTGGGAAGGGGAAAAAAATCCAGCCCGAGGTGTCCACACAAATTGTCTCATCTCTCAGCATGGAGACCTGCCTCACTGTGAACAGGTATCTAAACACACCAGTGTGTGGTTCCCAGGCAGGCAAAAGGCTAAGAAATATTAGGGTATAAATGAGATAAACCCAGGAAACTGGGCAGTGTATTAATCCAGTCATCTACATCACTGCAGGAGAAAAGGGATAGAAAAGTGAATTACAGAATTGCTCAGAAGAATTGCTCTACAATACGAGGTTAAACTCACATGGCCTTTTTTCAGCCCACCAAAGGTGGGATATAAAACTCTGAATTCTACTAAGATTAACTGGAAGCAATTCTCTAATTCACCATGTGTTCTTGCAGTACTTGATGGAAGTGAATGTGAGGGAAACTAAAGGGCGCCGCCTTTCTCATGCTGCACATGACTTCCCTGCAGAAAGCAAAGGGAAAACTAGATTCCAAAAAAATCCCCAAACTGGTTTGACAAAGTCTTTTAACAGAGATCCACCAAGACGAAGGGGGGGAACAGGTGCAACTTGTGGCCAATGAAGTGAAAGACTGATTGATTAACATGAGCCAGCATCCCTTTATATGTGCTGTATAAGGGACAGGATTTGGGTCCAGACAGGCCAAGGTTCCCACTCTGTGTACGCCCAGTCCTTTCCTAAACAGAACCTGCTTGCATTCAAATGCAATAACAACAGGGATGCAGAGGACTTGCACTCAAGTTCCTCTCAGCCCTGTTGACAGCAATCTTTCTCCTGCCTCTTTTTCTTCTCTGATTTATTAAGGTTTGGTCTGTCCTTTGACGAAGTCCTCAAAACCGAGTGGCTGGTCTACCTGGACACGCTCGCCTCCTTCATCGGTGCCAAGCCCAGCGTGCTGGGGCTGCTCTGCAGAGATCCCTGGCTGGCCCTCACCATTTTCTTTGGCCCCTGCTCCCCCTACCAGTACCGACTCCGGGGCCCTGGGCACTGGGAGGGGGCACGCCAGGCCATCCTCACCCAGTGGGACCGGACTCTGAAGCCCACAAGAACAAGAGTCCCTGCTGGCTCCTCCAGCTCTTTCCCCTCTCTCCTGGTTGTGGTGGGGTTCCTCCTACTCCTGGCTGCCATAATTTTTGGTTTACAGTAACTTTTAGAGCCTGTTAATTTTTTGTTCTTGTCACGGGGGATGTTATCTCAGGTCAGACATCTCCAAAGTGTGCCATGGGATGGCAGGAAAAGGATTTCAGGAGATGGAACAAATTTTATGCTTCAACCTGCCGCACAAACCTTTCTCTGCCCCAACTCACCCCCAAGCACAGCTTTGCAGACCCCATTAGCTGGGGATGGCAGCTTTCCCCCAGTGTCTATTGCTCCTCTCCTCTCCTGCCCACTGCTGGGAGCAGAGCATGGCTTTATGGCATAACTGTGTATGGATCATGCCAGCCAGGATGCAGCAAGGATAAGACTAGCCCTGCCCCAACTCACCTGAGAACCAGGGTCTTTAGTCCAGCAAGGGGTTACCTGGGCTGGGTACGCAGGTCAGGCTGTCTCTTTTCCCAAACTTAAAACCTCTGACCCAAAAATCCCAGTTTGGGTTGAATTGGTGCATGTTTCCAGTGAAAGGGCCCTGGTTGTGGTTTGTCACCACTGAAATTGGGACTGAGCACTCCTGGCTTTGTTTTCCTTCATTCCTCACCACTGGATAATCCTAGGGCTTTTTTCATGCGTGTGGAGACTTTAAATGAATAAAATTTTATCAGCTGTGTCAGGAGCCTGCTGCAGGTGCCTCCATGTCGTCTGCCTGCGTGCAGGGAAAGAGCTGGGAGGGTCCATGTCTGAGCTGGGGCTGTGCCACTCGGTGCCATGGGCAACTCACAAGGCTGGGGCTGTGAGGGCTTTCACTGACCCCCCCAAAATTATTCTGCACTGTGCTCTGTGTCCCCCATCCATGCCGTCAGCTGGCAAAGAGAGTGTGTTTTGCTGATTTCCTGGGCGTGCCAAGTGAACGCCTGCCAGGCACAGGCACTGCAGGAGGGGATGAATCAGGACAACCCCAGGCTGCTGCCTGGGCTGGGCCAGTGGCCAGCTGCGGCGTGGGAGCCCTTGCAAGCACGTTCCCTTTGGGATTATAGTCTGGATTTTCACCCAGCAACGCCACGGGGATGTTGAGAGCTTTCTTCCAGTGCGTTTAAGCACACGGGGTGGGGCAATGCAGGCGTAAAGGTCAGTGGTGCAAGAGCCGTGGCGACCTGCCTGGACTTCAGCCTTCGCTTCAAATCTGCGGCAGGAGAAACTTGAAGCAAAGTTCGGCCGAAGCCTGAGCAGCGAGGGCACGGCACTGTCCTGCAAGGTTTGCTCCTCACTTCTCTCCAGATGGGTGTTGCAGGCTTCCAAAAGGGGCAGACAGCTCTCCAGGGTTTTGGCATTTGCCACCGGCTTTGCCTCCCTGCTGGCGGGGGGGAGAGGGGTCTTACGGAGACTCTCTGGAGTAGAACTGTCTGTATCCAGCACTGGAAAAGAAGGCTGATTTTAGCACGTCTCTACCCTTTTCCAAAACCAAAGGAGGCTCCAGAGACAGGGGGCAGGCAACTGTTGGCAAGTCCTGCCCTGTTCGTGCAGATCAGGGAGCGGCTCAGTCTGGGCTTTTGGATTCTGAGGGGGTATTTTTGCACCTCCTTCATTTTTCCCTGTCTTTCTTCAGTTTCCTCCAGTTCCTGTTTATGTTAACTTACTTTTTGGCACAAAACTGATAGAAAAAAGTTATAAATTACTCTTTCTGCAGATTCTGCAGTGGGAGTGTTTGTTATCTAATCAAAGTTCACGTGGGTTCGTTTTTCCTAGTTTCTTTGCTTTCCAGTCAAGCTCGGTGCAGCTAGTTCACACACCCCGGGGGCCTGGAGTTCCTCGCCTTTATTACCCGCGTTTCCCGGGTTTCTTACCTTTTGTGTGCTCTGTAATCCCAGCCGGCGCTTTCACGGTGCTGTCTAACTTGTGAATGGCTGTGCCGCGCTCCTGCTCAGTCAGGCATCACTTTTTTTTTTCTTTTTTAAACCCTTTTTGTTTTCAAGAGATTGCTCTTTAATGGGAAAGTAAAAAGGAAAGCATGAAAATGAGCCATCTTAGCTGAAATTGTTTCTTGCAAAAGTTTCAGGAGGATCGCTTTGTGCGGGCAGAAGCTGCAAGCCCCTTCCCCTTCTTTGCATGCCCTGGTTTGGGCTTAGAAATGGAATAAAAAATGAAACAGCAGCACAGTGAGGTTTAAAAGTGTCTCCCTTTTCCCTGCATGAAGGAGGGGAATTGCTGGACCCTCGGTGTGGGTTTAGCACAGCAGGAAGGGTAACAAGAAGCATCTGGCCATAGTGCTTGAGCCAAGAGCTGGCCATGGCTTTCTCCAAGAATAGTTTTCCTTGTGGGCACCTGCAGCCAGAGAAGACCAGGGGTATTTTTCTAGGGAGGGGAAGAAGGGATTGGTGTTTCTGCTAATTCCTGGGCTGTTTGGTTTGCAGCTGCTCGCCCACGGGCCCGTTCCCCGCTGCAGGACAGCAATGGTGCGGCGCGTGGCCGTCATCGGGGCCGGGGTCGGTGGCTTGGCCTCTGTCAAGTGCTGCCTGGATGAGGGGCTGGAGCCCACCTGCTTCGAGAGGAGCGAGGACATCGGGGGGCTCTGGCGGTACACGGTCAGTGAGCTCTGCCTGCGTGGGGAGGATTGTCCCTGGGTTTGTCCCCTCCCTCCTCGGATATGCTTTGCCTGCAGCAAAGAGAAAAGAGTGGCCATGCCCTCAGAGACTGTCCCTGTCCTAGGCACAGGTCTCCCCCTGACTCCAAGTTGGAGAAGGAAAGGGAGGGAGCAGAAACCATTGTCACCAGATGCTTGTCCTGGTTAAGTCTTTATAATCAAGTACAAGGAGAAAAAACACTCAAATGCTTTGGGGAGAGAAAGTATTTCTCTGCACACCTTCAAACAGCACCACTGGCTTCACACAGGACTCCGTGGATGGTACGAGAGTCAGTGTGTATCGCTCTGTCATTACCAACACCTCTAAGGAGATGTCCTGCTTCAGTGACTTCCCCTTCCCGGAGGATTTTCCCAATTACCTACCCCACAGCCTCGTCCTGGAGTATTTTCGGATGTACGTCCGCCACTTCGATCTCCTGAGGCACATACGCTTCAAGGTGAGCAGGGACCCCAGACACCATGGGCAGAAGACCCACCAGCAGCTGCAGATACCAGGATACCACCCAGGGGGGACAGGACAATGCCAGGTGCCATCCCATGAGGACTACATGCCTTCTGTATCCCAAATGCAGCCTTTAGCTTCGTGTTTTAAAGGCTTCTTAAACATGGGCTGCATCTCCCCCCTCAATGCCATCACCAGGGGAAAGGTGCAGGGTGGGATTTGATGGTGTTGGGTGACATGCAGCTCCCTAGGGACCCAGCCTGCCCCCAGCAGCCCCAGCCCTTCACAGGCATATCTCCAAAACACAGAGTGGTCTCTGACTGCTGTTTTGTTTGGCTTTGGTGCAAGACAACAGCTCTCAGTGTGAGAAGGCGCCCAGACTTTGCCACCTCTGGCCAGTGGGAGGTGGTCACCGAGACCGACGGTGTCCGTGAGTCCCACGTCTTCGATGCCGTCATGGTTTGCACCGGCCATTACCAGGAGCCTTACTTACCACTGGATTCTTTCCCAGGTAAGCCCTGTCCCAGCAGTGGGGTGGGCTGCAGCTGCCCCCTGAGGTTTTGCCCAGCACCCATGGGTTCCTCGGCTGCATTTTCCTCTTAGAGCCTGTCTGCTCCACAAAGCCCTTACACTGGGAAAAGTGGGACCCTCACCCTGTTGGAATGGTGAGGGCCATTCACGGGAATGGCAAAAACACCTAGTAAAGATGCAGCCAGGCTTTTGAACGAGGATTTGCAGAGCAAGACAGAGCAGAGGAGGTGCAGGGGGGTGGCACCATCCAGGCAGCCAAGATTTCCATGGGCTTTTCAGCTGCGATCAGAGGTGGGGGGTAGCAGGCTGGGGACTCCAGAGGGTCTGGGACAGTTAAATGTATCTGACAGTAGGAGAAGCTCCCCCCTCTCTGCCTAGGCATTGGCACTCGCTTCAAAGGCCAGTACCTCCACAGCCAGGAATACAGAGATGTGGAGCCTTTCCGGGGAAAGCGGGTCCTTGTGGTCGGCATTGGCAACACTGGTGGTGACATCTCCGTGGAGCTGAGCCACGTGGCTGCCAAGGTACAACTCTGCAGCGATGCAGAGCTCAGCCAGGGACCAGGAGAGCCAGGGGCTTAGGTTACCCCAGGAAGCTTTGCTCCGGGGTTTTTAAATAAATTCCACTTTCAATTGAAGGCAACTGAAAAAGCTTTGCGATTCCTGGAGAGTTTGGGCCACCTGAGGAGTGGCCATTCAGCAGCTGTGGGACCTTTGTAGAAGCTGCCACAAGCTGTTTGGTTGATCTGGATGCCATCTCCTTCCCTCAGGATAACCCTCTCAGCTCCCAGGTGCTGAGATGAGATTTGCCATTAAGAGCAAAACAAACAACAAGATGCCTGGACAGGAGGCTGAGACCTGCCTTCTCTCCCAGGTGTTCCTCAGTGCCAGGAGCCACACGTGGGTGATGAGCCGGGTCTCAAACCATGGCTTCCCCTGTGACATGGTCGGCACCACCCGCTTCAACCACTTTCTTGATTGGCTTCTCCCATCAGCCTTCACAAGGAGGATCCGGTTTCGGAAGTTCAATTCATGGTTTAACCACACAAATTATGGGTTGGCTTCCACCAAAAGGTATTTCCTTCTGATTGTTTTGTTGGTTGGTCAGGGGGTCTTTATACCATGAAATGCTTAATTTTTAATTTTGGGGTATATTTGTGGAATAGCAAACAATTGGAGGGGAACTCTGACTACAAAAACTGTCTCAGATCCCGCCCGGGTGCTAACACCTTCTTTTCCCCCTGCAAGCTCCAAATTTAAGGCGATTATCAATGAAGAGCTGCCGTTCTGCCTCCTCTCTGGGACTGTTGTGTTGAAGCCAAGTGTGAAAGAGTTCACGGAAAGCTCTGCCGTTTTTGAAGACGGGACAACAGAAGAAAACATCGACGTGGTGCTCTTTGCCACGGGCTACATCTTTCCATTTCCCTTCCTTGAAGAGTCAGTTCGCAGCCTCATTGACGACAACCGTTCCCTCTATAGACGCATCTTCCCTCCCCAGCTGGAAAAGCCGACACTGGCCATCATTGGCTTGGTCCAGCTGACCGGCTCGATTATGGTGGGATCAGAAATGCAGGCTCGCTGGGTGACGGGGATCTTTGCAGGTAGGAAACGGGGGGGTCTGCTGGGATGGGAGGTTTGGGGCAGCCTGACCTGCTGTCCACAGAGCCTGGGGCACATTTCAGCTCCGCGGTGGCCATGAGCATCGGTGGCATTGTAGCCTCTGTCTGCCAACTGCATCCCTGTATCCCTGCTGCTCCAGACATGCTGCTGTTACCAGCAAGCATGAGTACTCTGGGTAAGGGTGCTGGGAGCTTGGGAAGGGGGTGAACTTTCAGCTTGAAATGCTTCTGAAGGTCTCTGGTTTCTCTGTTCTCAGGTTGGAACAAGCTCCCTCCTGCCAGCAGGATGATGGCTGATGTTTTGAAGAAGAAGCCTCCAGCCAAAAGGTGTGTGATGCTCCTGTGCTCCAGATGTGATGGGTGCTGTGTGCCAGGATAACCCCAGGGAAAGGGGGGCTCTGTGGCAGTTGTGGGAGCAACCTGCCTTGGACACATCTGGAACTCTTGCAGCTCCTTTATGGGTAATGGACCAAGACCCCATAAGCTGCTCTGGAGCAGTTTATGACAAGACCCAGGACCTGCAGGTCCCCTCTGCCAGGCCTCCAAGCCATGTCCTTATTCCTAGCATATCAAGATGGAAGTTTGGTTTCCTCCAGACTGAGGGTGCCATCTCGTGGCTCTTTCCTCCCAAATCCAAGCAGTGGAGAGCACTGGGTTCAGGCCCAAGCCCCACCCAGAAACCCCACTGAAGCCAGGCAATGTAGGTGGGGGACGGTTTGTGTCAGTTTTTAACAGGTCAAGATGAATATTACACGAGGCTGTTGTAACATCCTGCCTTGTTGGCAATGGGATTTTACAGGAGGTTGAGACGTGCCCTCAGGGATGTGGGATGGGTGGTGATGGAGGTGCTGCCTGCCTTGCAGCAGCTTTTGGGAGCAAGGAAGGTATCTCAGGGTGCAGGCTGGGTTGGGTCTGCCAGCAGGGCAGGGCTGGCTCATGGGACACATGAAAAGCTGGGACAAAACAGAACCACAGGGATTATGACCAGGAACCCCAGTGACTGCACCACAACGATGTTACACAGAAATATGGGAGCCTGAGGTACAAGGGAGACAACCTTCAGGGTGTCCCAAATTTGCTGAAGCAGATTCAGCACGTCCTCCCTCCTGCAAGGGACGTGAGGCCTCAAGCAGAAAAATCCTGGACGTCCCTTCTGGAATGGGAATCTTTATGCATCTCCCAGATTTTCCCAGTCTCCTTGGCATGCTTATCTCTGAAAGTTTGCATTTCTGCTTCTCAAAATCAGCCAAATCCACACCTGTGAACCTTAAGGAAGGACACAGCATTACAAAGTAAAGGCAGTATTCAGCTAGAACTGGTTTTGAGGCCACAACTGAAGACAAAACAAGCTTCTGCCTATTCCCTGCCCCAGGTAACTGCTGGGACCAACTCCATGGAGGCTCTTTCAGTGCCTTTAGGGGCCGAGGGAGCTTGACCCCAGAGACTGGGGCTTGAATGCTGCCTGAGCCCAAAGCTTTTACTCTCTGTGGAGCTGGGAACTGAGGTGGGATGATGCTATTTGATTTTTATTTTTTATGTCCCACTGAAGGAATCCATCCGAGAGGGAGAACCTGAAGATGAGTTTTATCGGCTACACGGATGAAATCGCTGCCTGTGCTGGTGTGAAGCCCAGCGTGCTGAGGCTGCTCCTGACGGACCCCAGGCTGGCCCTGGCCATCTTCTTCGGGCCCTGCACGCCCTACCAGTACCGGCTGGTGGGACGAGGGGCATGGAGTGGGGCCAGAGATGCCATCCTGACGCAGTGGCAGCGGACACTGAAGCCCTTGAGGACTCGCATGGTGGATGAAGATTCCGACCGCTCGTCCGGCTGGTGCTGGATGTGCCTCCTGGCCCTGCCTGTGGCTCTCACAGCAGGTTTCCTCCTTTCTAAACACCCCCAGCTGGGCTGTAGGCCCTGGGCAGGTCCCCAGCTGTAGGAGAAACCCAGTGAGCCCCAGCCCCAGGTGAGCTGGGGACAGTGTGAAGCCGTGTTGCTGCCGGGTGGTGGCCTGGCACTGATAGCAGCCTGGATGCCAGGAATGTCTAGTGTCCATCTACCTCCTGCTGATGTTTCACACCCACCAAGGGCCGTATGGAACGTTCACCCCAAACCTGCTGTGCTCCACACCAGCACCAGGCTGGATCTCCAGAGGGCTTTTTAAAGAGCCATTTTGGGATGAACTGGCGGGCACAAGGCCAGGCTTCCTCCCTCCCCTTGCTCACCCAGAGCTTCCTCCATAAAATTTCAGCAAGACCCACAACGCCTTGAGATTTTCTGAAACATGAACTGTAGATAGCTTTTTATTTGTCTGGTAACTTTTGGGACACAAAGAGGGGAGCCACAAACAAACCTCACAGATTTGGGTCTTCTCTGCTGGTTTCATTAACAGTTTATTACTGGGCAGAAGGCAGAGCCTTCCCACACACCCACTGGTGCCTCCATCAGGGGATTTTGCTGCACGCTTGCCCTCAGGCTGCAGCCACTTCCCTGGGGGAAAGCATGTCCCGAGCCATCTGTCCCCCATCCCACCGCAATGGAGCTCCTGTGGGGTGCTGCTGGTCCCACGTGTGGGGCCGGGGATGGGGAAAGGGATAGAGACTGGGATGGGGACCCAAAGGGGAACAGGGGTGGGGACCGGGATGGGGACTGGGATGGGAACCAAAAGGGGAAGGCGAGGGGCGACCAGGATGGGGACAGGGAGGGGGACCCAAAGGAGGACCGGGATGAGGCTGGGCATGGGAATGAGGACGGGGATGGCGATGGGGACCAGGATGAGGACTGGGCTGGGGCTGGGGACTGGGATGAGAACGGGGACGGAGACCGAAACGGAGACCAGGATGGCGAGCGGAAAGGGGACGGGACAAGGGATGGAGACGGGAATGGAGACCCAAAAGGGGACCGGGATGAGGACCAGGATGAGAACAGGGACGGGGACCCAAACTGGTCCCGCCGGTGTCGGCAGAGCCCGGCCCCGCCCTCGGCCCCGCTCCGCCAGGGGGCGCCCCCGTCCCCGCGCTCCCGCCCGACTGCGGCACGGCGCGGCCACGTGACCCGGCGGCGCGGGGGGCGGGGCCGGGCGGTGCGCGCCGTGCGCGGTGACGTCAGACGTCGTTGGCGCCCGGCTTGGCCGCCCGCCATCTTGGCCCCTGTGTGCAAGCGGCCGAGGCGGCGGCGCCGGGAGCGGCAGCGGCACCGCCGACACCGGCACCCGCGGGCAGCCGAGCGCCGCGCTGCGCGCCCGGTAAGCGCCCGCGCCCCTCCGCACCCCCGCCGTGGGGCCGCGGGGCCGTGGCGCGGCACGGCTCCGGCAAGAGCAGGCGGGCGGCCTGCGCCGCATGGCCCCGGGCGGGGGCGGCTTCCGCCCGGGCGGGCCCGCGGCCCGCGGGTGAGGGGCGGCCGCGGGTGAGGGGCGCCCCGGGACCGCACCGCGGGCGGGCGGAGCGGGGCGGGCGGCCGGGCCGGGGGTTGCTGGGCCGCTGGGCAGCCCCGCATCGGCACCCGGGGCGGCCGCGCCCCGCCGGACACAGCCCGGGCCGCGCCCGGGAGGGGCGGCTGCGGTGGGGCCGCTGCTGCCTTCTCCCGCCTCCTGCGCCCCCCTTTTTTTAACGGTTCCAGGTCTCTCTCCCTCCCCATCTCTCTCTTCCCCTCTCTTTCTTTCCCCCCCGCTGGGCATTCCTCGAGGAAGGCGCCGGCCCCTCCGTGCGTCCGCGTTCGCTCTGTGGCCGTGATTCTTCCTGCAGGACCGCGGGGCAGAGCAGCCCTTTCTCGCAGGGCGCTGGAGGCACATGCACGGCGCGGCGCTTGGGTTTTCCCACTCGGAAATACGCATCCACGCTTCTTTTCACTGCTCGCCCCCAGTAAAAGGCGGTTCCTGGGGTGTTTGATGTAGGGCTGAGCGGAGCGGCGCTCGGGGGAGGTATTGTTTGTGCTCCCAGGGGCAGGATTTGTAGGGATGGGATGGTCAGAGTCTTGCTGGTAGAGCTTAAGGGATGGTGAGAGCGTGAGGAGATGACACGGCTGAAATTCAGGCAGCTGGTCTGCAGTGGCCATAATGCAGTGGGTGGTGGGAGCCATCACCGGGGGATGCAGGGATTGAACATTCTGGGGCTAAAAATGGCCCAAATAGTTTCCAGTTCACGACCTCTTTATGGGGAAGGGGAGCGTGCATGAGAACGTGGTGCTGCGTGTTGAATGGAACGTTGTGGGTTTTCTGCCCTTTTTGTGTCTCACACGTGCGTTTTGTAAATTTACTCTTCTGTGAGAGGTCTTGAACTCTTGTCATCGGCGAAGGACCATTTTTCCTCATTGATCTGCTTACTGGAGTCAGATGTGTACATTAGTGGAAATTAGCTTTATTTCCAAAGAAGGAACAGGGCTCTAATTTTTCGTAGCTCTGCCTCTTCTGCAGTGAGGCACCAGGCCTACCCAGTGTCTAGTCTTAAAAGAGCTCTGCTCAGGCAAGAAACTGCTTTTGGAGGGGGAGGAAACAGGACATGATGTCATTTGTCCATGGATGAGAAGCAAAAGGATTACCCTTAACTACTGACTGTGAGGAGCTGGATATGGCTGTCGGTTTTCTTTGAATTATGTAGTCTAGAGAATTTTTCTCCTACGTTAATTTTTGTGGTGTCCTGTTGCAACTCTGCAACAGTCTCCTTGGGTCTAAAGAATTAAGTTTTGGGAGTTGTTTGAAGTTGGTGAATGTTCAGTGGAAAGGCAGTTTGGTGGAGGTGTGTGCTTGAGAAGTGGCTGTTTGAACTGAAGTGAGAATTTGGTTCCCTCATAGGTCAGTCTCAGTGTGTGGAGACCAGGATTGTGATCTCTGTGTCTGTCACCTAAAACACTGCCTTGGTGTCTGTATATGTTTCTCGTGTGAAGTTCTTTCCTTTTGTAAATAATAGCTTATGAAATATGTGTAAATCAATATACAGTTGCCTCTGTGAGCTTTGCTAATATAAATATTCTGTGTCTTGGCCGGTTAGTAGCAATTTATAATTTCTTTACTCTCATTTAGCCTTCCCATGATGGGAACCCTGTTTTTTTGTAGAGCAGAATAGTTAGATCAGTGTCCAGTTTTAACTTGGGCTCCTTGTTCGATGGTACAGATTTACAGGACTTGTCTTCCTTAGGCCCTGTTTCCCCACATCCTGGAGTCCACTGGGGAAAGTGAAACAGGCCACAATGAGCAAGGGAAGGATGATGCAATTCAGAAGGGAGCTCTCTTTGGTCTGTCTGAATGAATGTTGTGTGTCAGTTAAGGGAAAGAATGTGAGTCAAAGCAGCAATTACACTGGATGGAGTTGACTTCAGCCAGGTGTCCTGCCTGGCTGGAAGTGCAAGCCCTTTGTTCCAGGCTGTTTTCCAGGCTAAGTAACGGGAGCGATGTGAAAGTGGAGAGAGGGTGGAAAGTGTAGACTGAATACCATATAAGGGTGCTGTGGATAAAATGTGGAGATAAAAATCTTGCAGAAGAATTAAACCCTTGCACAGTGTGCTCTTGCAGAGGAATAAACCCTTGTGTGGTGGACTGGGGATGTGAGTGAAGGAAAAACACTCTTCTTCCTTACGCTGGAGAAGGAGGTGGACACTTTCAGAGGTACTTTGCGGTAGTGGAGGGTTTGAGGGGGGAAAAACTCCGCCCTGAAAATGCACCACCTTTCCACTAGTGAGGATGGATGTTGGGCTTGTGATGACGGGACTGCCAGTGGTGTTTTACTGGTAGAACCAGTTCATCTTCTGCAGGAAATTTTTTCTTTGCTCAGCCTCATGCCCTCATTGTTTTTTTGGGTCTGGGTTTCCCAAACCTGGTAGAAGCTTATGGGTGAAAGCAGATGTAAAAATAGAGGCTGAAATTTATGTGGGGAGGTGGGAGAAAATAATGCTGTCTGAGTACTGGTGAAATGAAAATGGAGTGCACAGGAGTCTTTAAAAATGCATAAAGAGCAGAGGAAGATGAAGTCCTAATAAAAATCAGATGAAGACAGCTTTTATGTCTATGAAGAGCAGGCTAACAGAAATAGACTGTTTTTATTACAAATACCTCAGCCATTACATAACATTCTAAGTAAATGCTAACGAGCTAGTCTGTTACAGATTGCAAACACATACTGAAGGGAGAAGCTGTTTAACATTCACATTGTTCATGTTTTAAATTATCTGACACTGTCTTGATTAACAGTAAAATTATAGTGCGGATTCAACATTACATGTCTTCAATCTGAAGTGTGGTGGGGATAATTTTAACTGATGTGTACTTGAAAATAACGTGGGGTATGTTTTCAGAGGCTTAGAGCATCAGAGACAGGAATTACTGCACTTTACATTCAGGTGCATCAAATGCACAAGTACTGCTGAAGAACTGTGGCATCACCCGGGGCTGGGTAACTGAGAGAAGAGGGGTCATTAAATATCTATTTAAATCAGTGTACAGCTCATTCCTAAGTGGAATGGCAGCCTTACTCGATTTTGGGTTAGTTGGGCTGTAACTTGTATTCCAGCCTGCCTGTTTTTTGCTGCAGTGCTTGCTTAAGCTGGCAAATCAAACTTGCTCTGCTTAGAAGAGCAGCCCTTTTCAGTCTGTCCTCCTGAAAGCAACTCAACTGCTACACCTTGGTTTAAAATTAATATTTTGTAAGCATATGACCATTCCTAGGTTTTATTGTTTGTAAATTTTTACTTGCAATTTAAGTCTACAGTCGCAATTTTAAAAGAGTGTTTGCAGGAGCAAGGGTGTAAGTTATGCTTAAAGTGTTTTGAATCTTCTAAGGTGGAAGTGCAGGAACATCTTCATTTTGTTTGAGAAGCCAGTGATTTTCTCCCAGTTGAAGACTTGCTATGCTTTAGGACTTAATATTTCTTCTGTTTCAAAGTAACCAGATAACCATGGAAGGACCTCATGGGCTTAATATCAGTACATTGATGCTTTCATTTTGCAAAAAAAAAAAAAAAAAAATATTGTATTTACAGGACTTGTTTTATAGTAGCGTTTAGGGCAGTGTGTGCTTCCCACACACTAGGTACAGGTAGACAACAGAAGTCCTCTAATGATGGAGAACAATAAGATTTTCTCTTTGCAGTGGGTGTGAATAGTCTGTAGGAAAGATGTATCTGGTAAGAAAAATTTGCCTTTGACCTGTGCCATATCTGTGTGGTTCACTGGCTGGAGTCACTGGAGTTAGGAGATGTTCTTCATGCCACAGATGAAGGTCTGAGCTTTGTAGTGCACACACAGCTTTGGATAAGGAGAAGTTTCTTGGTAAGTATTTTAATAATGTGTTGAGCCTGAATTATTTACTGCATCTTGAAAGCAAAGTATCAAGGGACACGTGGGGTTTTTTTTTTCCCTAAGCAGAATAAACAGAGAACCAAGAGCAAGTGAAGATGTTAAACTTCATCTGCAGCCATTTGGCAGATGCAAGTTAACTTCCATGGAAAATGGGTTCTGTAATGCTGAAAGGCAGATACTTAAAGCTGGGTGTGCTGATAAGGCTTTTCTAATTTAGCTTCTCATCTTTTTTTTCCTCTTTTTCCAACAAGACACGATTGAATCCAGTGTAAAGCAGAGGGCAGAAGTTGACCCTCAATGTAATTAACCAGTGCTGTTCAGAACTGCTGTCTGTGTGGTGTTGGCAGCTGCATCTTTTACATACTGAGCATTCTTCATGAACAAGAAGCTGTTCCAAGAAACTCATGAGTCACAGGGAAGAGCATGTAGCCAGAGATCCAGAGGATAACAGGCAGCAGGTAGAAGAGGCTGTGAGCAGCTCTGAGCTCTCCAGGCTGGACCAGACCAAGGAGCAGATTCCACCACCTCTGTGTGCTCCAGAGTGGCAGTTTTTAAGTGATGCTGTCAGTGGTTTGTTAAAAGTGGTACATTTGGCAGCCATGGATTTCACTGGCTCAGTGGGAGCGTCTTAAAAGCCTTAAAAATATGCTGAGAAATACAGAGGAGAAATTATGTTTATTTTTGATGTACGTGAGTCTGGTTAGGAATATGGCAGGAGTTACAAGCAACAGAGGATTTGAGCAAAGTGGTGACAAATAGCTGAAGTTGTTACATAAATGATTAGAGTAACTATTTGGAACATTTTTTTTGTCACCTTAAGGCTGTACAGGAGTTTGTATAAAACTGTTTATTCTGTAGATTCCTACTGCTGATGAATACTTCCATCAGGTTGGACCCTTCAACACCAAAAATATCTTGAAAAGATGAACAGAAAAAAAAAATGTAGAAAAAAGCTA